TCCAGTGGGTCTCTATGGCTGGGCTCTTGAATAATGTTGATTGATTCAAAAATCATTAGCATTTTCATGGGGCCTTAATTGTACTGCTCTTTCATTAAAACTCTGTTGTTTTCTCGCCGCTGAACAACGACACAGCTGTCTTTTCAAGCCCATATCATCATCAGTTTTGGCAGGACTTTGGCTGTGGCGAACAACCTGCAGAAACAAAGGCTCAAATCGTGGCTATGAGTCTCCTGGTCGCCATCATCAGCCTCAATAAGTCAGTCTTCAGATCCAGAATAAATCAGTGACCACTTCAGTCAGAACACCACTCATAGGCTGGTGTTTTCATCAGGTACAAAATTGGTGCTCATGTTAGAGCATATAATCATACAAATTCCAACAATCGACATGTATGAACAGGTCAAATCATAATTTTCAAACTTCAGATACCTGAAACCAGACTCTTAATCAGATTAAATTCAAAATAAAATCAGAGCCAAACATCATGGTCGGGCATGATCAGGTTATAATGGATCAGTCTCAATTGATCTCAAAGGTCATGAAATTATCAGAAAATCAACGAGATTAACAACACAGCAAAGACTGAATGTTGACTTCGCTCATCTCTGGAAGACTACCACTAAGTAGAGGATCAAATCTTCAGGTCTGTTCAATTCAAATAACAAATGTTCAGATCAATCTGGTCTGGCTTTCTCATTCAAAGAAATGTTAAAGCAAAGCTCGCAAACCCGTCAGCTGTCAGATCAGACAAAGCCATGGATATATCGTTCAAAATCAGTTTTTTGTGAACTTCAAAACGTCAAATGAATTGATCAGATGCGTGGAAGATTTTTATCTCCAAATCGACTTCAACATATTCAGACAGATTCTGATCAGATATTGTCAGAAGGTCACCAGCTAATCAGGATACTGCCTGGATCAAATCTTGATCAAAAAAAGTACAGAAATATCTTTTATTTTCAGAACACAGAATAAGTAGAATCTTCATTCTCGACCTAAAAATAATGTTGCTGTTTCGACATTCAGCTCAGCCACAAATAATATAGGCTAGGATCATTCACTTCATAGTGCCGTCTGAAAACAGTCCATTTTCTTCAAACAAAATCACCGGATATCATTCCGATGATGGCATGATGTTCAATCGGCAAAACAAAACTTCGTCGAAACAGAGCAGGTCAGTATGGACACTACAATGTTTCGATCGGGCTGCCGATACCGGGCTCGCTTGTGTTTCAGCCTAATTTTCAAATTCTCTCATTTTGCACTGATCCTACAATCGTTAGAATACCCCCTCAAATGTCGTTACAAGTCATCTCAATTCTAAACATTGCAGGCTCAAAGGGCTCTCAATCGAAAATATCAATCAATAGAACCATTCTATGACAAACCAAAGTGCAGCCTCAAATCTCAAATTCATCGATGTCCTGCAGCTCAATTTTAATGAAAACCAATTTCAAGGCTGCTACTTCAGGTCAAACATCAGGCGGATCAATCAGATCAAATTCTTCCAAAACCGTGTCTCTGATTGGTCAGTCTCTTGGGGCAGTTTTCATGAAAGACCCTCAGACGAAGTATGGCTCAGGTCAGCCCCAGTATCAGGTGATAAACAGATTCAGTGTCAAAATCGTGCTGTGATCCTCAGTCGACCATTAAAATGCCAATCCCACTACTTTTATAAAAAATGTGATATATTCAGAAAATGCGTGCCACTTAGTTTCACGCTCACCATAATGCCTGGTGGAGTCATCAGTCAGCAACAGTCACGCAGATGAAAAATGATTACTGATGCCTCATCAAAAGTCAGTATCGAGAGATCGACCTACGGATGTTGTTCACGGTAGGCATTCAGGCCAAGATCAAAAACATCGAAAATTCAGGCATTGGAGGTAATCATTCACTGCTGTGGTGAAATCGACTTAATTTTTCGTTGTTTTGCGTCATAGCAGTGAGGTTCAAAACAGCTTTTAGCAGCTCTGGGCTCTTCATGTTTTTTTAGTGATGATTTCTGTAGAAAATCTCATCTTTCTCTCTTAGTGATTATCAATATATTTGATTTTCAGCTGTCACACTAATCAATGTTTGAATATTTTATGGCTAACGGTCTGGAATTCATATTCTGCATTTCGAACATTCGCGATGATTCAAACGACTGAAAAATGATTTTCAAAATCAGTTTTGATCAGATTTCTCAGCTCAGGGTTAGAAAACAAGATCAGCTGGATCTGAGGTTCTCTTTTGAGTTCTGGACTGAAACATGAAAAGAGAAGACTGCAGGCGCTGATAACGACTCAGTCTCAATTACTGAATGAACAGATATTTCAACTTTCGCTGTCCTGTGAAGTGCACCATCAGGTCTAGAATCCACTGAAATGAGCTCATCAAATAGGATCAATCTCAGGTGAAAATAAAGTGGGCCTAATCATACATCAAGCATATGCGTTAAGCCAGCCAGCCATGAAGTAAAGTTGACTTTGATGGCAACTCAGGCAGTTTCACATCAGCCCATGGAGAATTACAAGTCTCAATGCACTGGTGCCTAAATGTTCAGAAGCATTCTCCAAAACATCTTTAATCTTATTATCATGGAGTTGCCTGAGTATTTGGACTCTAAATTCAGGATCTTCAATTCTGCAGGCTATAACCATTCAATTTTCGAAAAATATTTCAAATCACGGTCAACAGAATATCTCAGGTTTCGGACAAAGGATATTTTCGAGCAACTTCTCCAGAATATTTAAGTATTACTGCTTTGACACGAGCAACAAATATCGGTAAATCAATAAAATGCAAAATCTTCATCGGGCTTTACGGTAAATTCGATCTTTATAATGAAAGTTCTTCAAAAATACTAGTGGAAAACTTTCAGTGATTCATCAACATCTGATCAAAATATATGCAGTGGTTCAAGTAAATGGATTTTCAAAATAAACAAATGGTGCCAAAATTTCAGGTGAATCAGATTTTCTGAAGAAATTCGAGCCATACAAAATGAATACAATCTTCAGAAAAATCAAATGTTAATTACTGATTCTCGATTCAAATCTGAAACCAGTTCGAATATAAATTCATCAGTCATGAATACCAACGATACAATTAAAACAAGATCCTCAGAGGTCATACAAATCAAGGCACACGGAGACTTCCGGGTTGAAACCCATGAAAAATGCTCACGGTGGTCTGCTTTCGAACATGTGAGAATCGAGATAGTTTACAATTGTTAATGCTAAAATCACAGAATGACAGATTATTCAAAGATGAATTTCAAACAATCATTTAAACGATCTATCGAATAGTTACAACAAATGAAACTGATCACATTTGGAATGGCTCAACGCTGGAGATAATGCAGTCTCAGAACAACTTCAACGAGTTGACTCTCAATGCGAACTGGAGTAATTTCAAATCGTTCGCCGTATTTTCTCCGTCGACAATGGAATTCCGGATTCGGCACCGAAACAGAAAAAGGGCTCAAAGTTATGAAGTCCGCAAGACCAGAAAATCGATCATCAGCGCCGCCGTCGACCGTGCATATAAGCTTCTCCTCGCACGACCAGTCGATTCGGTTGAAACCTGCCGAACTGATCGAGATAAGAAATGAGGCTGAAGGTCATGTTTCAAATCAGTCTGGATAAAATATCATCGAAGGCTTCATACTGAGAACAAATATTTCATCATGAAACAAATCATGATCATGACCAGATCGGGCTATCTTGGAACTGCTGGGTATTTATTTTTGGAAGAAAATCTTTTCGAAAATGTTTTTGAAAAACTTCAATGGTGCAATCTCAATTCTAATTCTGTTTATCATTAATACAAAGTGAAAAATGACACACATTTGCCAGATCACTGAGCAGGATGAAAAATCTGAGTGCAAAACTCGAAAAATTCAGGCCCCTAAACAGTTTTGCTGTTTCATTGAATTAAAAAATATTATAAAGTGATAATATCAGGAGAATTTTAAAATTGTTTGTTACAAAATTCTAGATTATCGGGTTTTCACAAAGCTCTTTCTGGTGATCCCGACCGGATCATCTAAAATCAGTGTAATTCTTGAAAAAAGGCGATCGAAAATTTGATCTTCAACATCGACAAAACAAAAAGTTGAACATCAAACATCAAAACTGTCCCACAGCTGTTCAACAAATGAACAACCCTCAGCTCATTAGAAATCCGTCAGAAACAGAGCTGATCTGAAATGAGACAAATCAAAATTAAACAAACTCTGTCTGATATCCTATCATTTTTCCTGGTCTCTAGAACCATTCTCAAAATTTCAGATGAAGATCTTTTCGTCATCTTAATCAGGCATGCAAATGGATCTCGGTCAATGTTTTCATGAAAGCAGGCGTCAGTTCAATCTTTCATGGAAAATCAGGTCTGGCGATCAAATCAATCGATCAGATGTCAAATGGTAAAGTATGGTTCTAATTAAAAAGTTTGAGACAGGAAAGAATTCAAACAGTCATGAACAAAAGTCTGCTGCTGGTATTTGGTTCTGAGGATGCGATGATCATCTCTCGCGTGGTTACGTTCTCAGGCGACGATCTCAAACAACGACTCATAGAAAATGATCAATCATCCAGATCGACATGATGTTCTCGGGATCAGTGAGTCGTTCGTCGACTAGCAATCTCTTGTCTGCGAAAACGTGAACGCCGATGCGGTGGTAATCAGGATGACATGCTCATCTGTTCGCGCCGCCGTCACCGGAGATGCGTTCAATGCGCGACAAACAGACGATATTCGTGTCGAACAACGGTCGCCAGAATGGCGGGAGGATGTTTGGTGCGCCTCACGGTGCCAGTCTTTCGGCAGTTGGCAGCCGGAGTTAAGCAAACATCAGCTCAATTTTAAATCGTTCGTCGTAGGAGGTTGACCAGGTGATGATGCAAGCGATTCTCATCACTGCGTTCTGGGATCAGTCTTCTTAAACGGCATCAAATCAGAGGCATGGATGGCTGAGTCGGAGAGTGTTGACAACGAAGAGACAATCTCAGGCAACAGATTATCAAGTCTGCAAATCGTCGACCAACACCAAATCTTCTCTTAATCTCGTTGATGTGCTGAGACATGCCAAGAGCTGAAAACTTCAGAAGGTATCTGTCAACGCCTTGACAGAGATCGTATTTTGACCAATTGAATTAGTTATGATCGACATTCCTAATTTTATGATGAGGTCAATCGGGGATTCCGGTGATCAGCAATCTGATCCAGCAGGTGTGGATGATCTGGGCACGAAAATTCATAGACAACAAATGGGTGAAAGTCGACTTCTGGGCAGACGACCGATAATGTAGTGGTCATTCAAATTCAATTGTCTTTTGAGGATCAAATGTTCATATCTCCGGATCGGCAATGCCACCAATGAATAACTCCTCGAATATTATGAATGCTGGCATCGGCTTTGCTTCATGCTGGAGTAATCAGGTTCTCTCTGCTGCGTTGATCGCGTCTGACGCACCGCCTGAAAACCATGTGGTCAACAATGAATGCGCGAAGTGACCATTTTTATCTTTAAAGTAAATCATCACCATCGTTAAATAATGGATTCAAACTGCACCAGCGATGTTTAAGCACGTCAAGAAAAGACGTTGCAAACGTCAATGACGCAAACGCGATACCGCAATGGTTGGGCGGTCAGGTGAGCTTTCGGAATACGATCTGCTGCGCCAGCTCAGATTAAAATGACCGAGGTCGACTGGAGCCGTCGCGAAAGTTATAGACCGTCATCGGTCATCATGACCATGCTCAGAGATATTGCTAATATAATGAAGACCGTAAATGGTGGTCATTTCCTGTCTTCAAATGGATTTTGCGCGGACGTGGTCTGTTCAAATAATAAAGCTCAAATAAACATCAGAAAGTCATTTCAGTGTGAAAGTCTGTTCTAGATTCTGCGTTCGCAGATTCAGGTGCTACGTCAGGTTTCATCGGTCTCTTGCGTCAGCGATCCTCGGTCGCCGTAACCGTAAATAATGAGCTCGTCAATAAAGTCGTCGAACCATTTCAAAGTCGGGCATCGGCCAGTGACTCGGGAGTGACTGGCGACGAACGCTCGTGATGAAGCGACTCCGTTTACTGGAGATGAAGCGGCTGTCTTCGAACTGTTTCCTGAGCCGCCATCCGCCGTGTTGCGCAGACGCGTAATCAGTGTTCAGTCGGGGTCGAATCACGCAGACATCACCATGTGCTCATGAATCGCCGTAAGAGGCAACCCAATCTGAAGCACGGCTGGGCAGACTGGGGCACGGCGTCAACTAATCTGCTCTGTTCATCTCGAAATAAGAGCGTCCGCCAACCTGCTGAGCAAAATGCAGGCCGCCCTCTCGATTACCAGCAGTGTGCACTGATGAATATAGAAAAATTAAATAAAGGCTGATTGGAAAAGATTCTACGTCTTACATAACGTGGTTACAGACGCTGAGTTTTCGAGCGCCAGTTCAGGGTCGTGGACAATTTAATCTCAAATTCGGAAAAGAGAAAAAATTTTCGAAAATCTCTGTTACAGTTTATCTTGAGACTCAAATTCTCAGAGATGTATCAGGTCAAGCTCTTGACTCAGGTGTTGTCAGGCCTAAACTTTGATCATTCAGTCTTTTCAGACATTCATTAAAATTCAAACTCAAAATTGTCAAATCTTTAATGCGTGGAGATTATTTTAAATGTCAATCTCTAGGAGGAATTTGTCAACAATACCGAAAAATCGTACGGTCATCGATAAATATTGGGCTCAGCACGCAATGCAAAGTGCATTCCGCGAATCGAAGCGTCATTCTTGAAATGATTCTTGAAATCAACGTCTCAACTTACCGGAAATGATCTCCGTCGTCAGTTCGACTCGTGGTATCGGGCAAGGCAAGATTTTAATCCGCATCAGCCCCATCTGTCGACATTCAGAAGTCACCGCTGAAGCCATTCCTGTGGACGATTAATGTGCCGCAGAAAACCTTTTTCAAATTCGCTTCCAAAAGCCCAAAACAATCCTGGTCAATCTCTTAACGATATTTCAGGAGGGTGCCGTCTATTCATAAAATTTTCGATAAATGTTGTTCAAAAATGAAAATGATAAGTTTCGAGTTTTCACTGATTTGAAATCCGTCTAAAATCAAACATATGAATGACTATGGCGTTGCCGGGTCGCGCTGTTGTGGAGTTGAAGATTCGCAATCGCGCAGTCTTCGACCAGATGCGACAATAAATTCACAGAAAATGCTGACCTGACATATTTCAAAACCTCGCCAGTGCAACAAGATGGCTAAACAGACCAAACGTGATGCCTCTGGTAGGCAAGCCATGTAAAACAGCTGCTGTGCCATTTTCGATCACTTGCGCAAATGGAACAAGTATCTCAAAAAAAGTTAACACGACAATTTCGGCATGACAATCTTCAAAGTGCACAATTCGGTAAACATCGGCAGCGATACCGCAGCCGTTGTGAAGCGAGGGATAAACATGGGCAATTATTCTCAGCGAGTCAAAATTGCCCAGGCCTGGGCAAAAGTCATTTCAAAGCTAAACGCTGCCAGCTCGACCAGGCAAGCAGGAACGCCAGGGTGCGACGCTGCTAAAAGTGATCGCCAGGCTCGCTTCCGGTGGTCAATCGATCGCACGAACGGACTAGCGTCTTTTTGACAATTGGCTCGCTTAATGTTTAGTGACCACTATAATGTCGGAATGTGTTGCGATGAAATGTTTAAGTGTCATAGCTCAGAGGCCTCCTGGGCCTCACTGGTGCAATCGCTCTCGAAAGGTGATTTTCATCAAGCCCACTTTGTAATCGCTTCAGCAAACACTGCTTAAATGACTTGAACTGTAATCAGTTTTGCAGTGAACCTAATACTCATTTCAAACAAACTAGCCTAAGCTAGCCTAAGCCTAAGCCTAAGCCTAGCCTAGCGCCTAGCCTAAGCCTAAGCCTAAGCCTAAGCCTAAGCCTAAGCTAAGCCTAAGCCTAGCCTAAGCTAAGCCTAAGCTAAGCCTAAGCCTAAGCCTAAGCCTAAGCCTAAGCCTAAGCCAACTCCTGTCCTAACTTAGCACCTGGAAACTAGTGCTAAGCGAAACACCAAGATGCACACCCATTGAAATTCACAACGACTAAGCCAAAAACGACAGACTTACAGTAGCTCCTTGTATGAAGAAGGTTTATAGTTTGATGTTTTCGTTTGAAATTTTGATTCAAACTCTGGTAAATGTCTCATTATTATACATTTTGTTGTTTCAAGAAGCAAATTTAGTTGTTTCAAGAAGCAAATTTATTCCATCCCAACAATTCAATAAACCAAAATAAGTTTTCTAAATTTTTCAAACCCGACAATAAAACCTTTTTTGAATCAATTCCGGTTTTAATTTTTTTTTTGCGACAGATAAAATGAAAAAAGTACCTTACTTTTTAGTCTAAAAACATGACTCTGAAATTTTTCTCTTTGCAGTTGTTTGTCAATTTTTAAAATCTCTACTTCTCCTTTTCGAGTAGTCCGTCTTTTTTTCCGTCCTTAGACGAGATTCAATCCGACGCCCGCCAGCTCTGGATAAACTGACCCTGTTCCTACATGAGGAAGAAGCTGATCGTAGGGAAGCTCGAAATATTCGTCTAATACTATCACAAAAAGGAATAATTTTCTACACTTCGTTCTTGATCTAGAACAGTTTTGTGAACCGAAAACTCTTCTTCAATGATTCCATGACTCAACAGAAGACCTTTGAAGACTGATTAAGTGTGTGGAAATGTTTGAAAATATCACTTTAGGTTTTCCACTTTTTTTTAACTTTATTTCAGAAGAAATTCCAATTTTTTATTCATAGTTTTGTGCAGTCACAAAGCTTTGTAATATGGTTGAAGATATGAGCCATTTGCATATTTACTGATGCTTTCATAATACATTTCCATCCAGTATGACTTGAACACCCGAGACAATCCGAACTTTCGCCGGGATATTTCCAATTCTTTTTGATGAAGCAAGCTCTCGTCAATCTGGAAATACTTCAATAAGTAATTTTTGTGGGATGATGTTGAGAAGTTTGAAATTCTTCAGAGATCCTGTCGGACATCTCATTGTCTGCACTAATTAAAAACCGAAAGCAAGAAAAATGATTTTCAAATTAAATGTTTAGACAATAGTCTTATACTTTTGTTGCAATACGTTTACTTCCCAAGTATAGGCAACTTAATTTTTTCGAAGTTCAAAAGCCTCATCGCTCACCTCATTGTAACTTTCCAACATCAGAACTCTTTCTCCGTCGTAAAGCTCATTATTTGATCCATTTTTCACTATTGGGACAGCTCCCATCACGATTGCTTCCCAGCTGAAAACATAGAACACAATGCCCCGAAGAAAAATGTATATTGATCACATCTTTTGTGAAAAGCTTACTATTTGCTCATGAAGAAAGGATCAAAAAACTATTCGGTTCAACATTGGGGTTTGAAATCGAATATTTTTTTCCATTGAAAAAAATTCGTCCAATATTAAAAAAACTTTTTCTAGAATTTTTAAAACTTTGAAACTCACTTCGTGCACGTATCCACTTCCTCCTTTTCGGCAGAAAGGAAAAATTTCGAATCTCCCATCAACTCTAGAATTTTCTCCTTGTTCTCATCTTTTCTGAATTGTAAAGAGTTAAGCTGCTCGACGAGACAAGTTTTACCTGCATAAAATTGAAGAAAAGACGCCTGAACAAAGTTTTTTTGTGACTACCTCATCTTTCGAATCATTCCCGTTGAGTAAAATCAATAATTGTATACTTCGCTCGCTGAACTTTCTAGAAACTTTTTTCCGGTTTTATTTATAAAACTATCACAAACTTTTGTTTTAGAGAAAGTTGTTTCAAATTTTCTTGCAGGCCTGTAGGTGTAGAAACACCGTAAGGAAGCGCGGAAAGTTTTTCATGGGAAATATTGAGATTGCTGGTGAACCAATGAACTAGCGACGGATCTCTGAGCAAAAACATGAAATCATTTTCAATATTTCTTTTCTCACTCGAGGATAAATTGGTTATCACCCGGCATTATCAATGAACTGTTGTGTGTAATGAGAAAGTATGGCGATGTATTTCTTTTGATGAATTCTTTCATTCGAAACGTCTGCTCGCTTTTCAGACTGATGACGTCGTAAGGACCCGCTGAGCTTTTCTGAAACTAAACGATCACCAAGAAAATAAATCGAAGCCAACATAAGCGAAATCATAGCCATCGAGAGGAGTGAAAACTCGTATTGAACCCATATCCATGAAAAAATCCTGCGAAACGAACGGGTCTTCGAGGTTTTTCTCGATTAACTCCTCTTCAATAAACTTCACAATAATATTGTCTGTCTGAAAATGGAAATGTAGAAGTCTTTTAAGGAAACTCACATTTGTGAATGAATTCATGAAAAAACACGCAGCGCCAAAGAAAACCAAACTGCAAAGGGCTATAATTCGCCAATGCTTCCATAGACTCTTCGAATCGGGAGATTCTACGTTTTCAGACTGAAAAAGCGGGTAAAAGTTGGGATAACTGTGCAAAAAATACCTTTAAAGGTTGCGCTTCCATGCGGATTGATATGGTTCTCAACACGACTAACCAACGTAAAAGAGATACGCTGGCTGTCCAAATAACAAATAGCGTCGAGTATGAGAGATGTCGGATCTCTTCGCAATTTTGTATTTATTTTTCCTCGTTCGTATGTTTAGATTATTTCACAAGTACACGACAATTTTGTACATGGTCAGTTTTGTATATCATCATTTTTCGAATTTTTATTTTCAGCTTTCTCGAATTTTATTTCTTCTTTTCCTTCTTCACAGTGTTGCTCAGATTTTGATCGTACATCAAACAACTTGGAAAATATTTGAAAAAACGGTAGGGAAGCGAATTAAAAATATTTTTTGATATTTTCAGTTTCAGTCTCAATTAGATTACCTACACGATGAAATTGTTTTTAAAGGAGTGAAAAATCCGTTCGTCTCCACGGATTTTTTCATTCAACTCGGAACAATCACCATCAAAGACCCACATGAAGGATACATTGTCACTCATGTAAGTTTAGATGGTCAGGTCAAAATTTTAACCGTTTTTATGCGGATAAAAAGTGAACGATAACTATTGGGTGAGAATCGAGAAAGAAAGAAAGAATTGTTCAGATTTATTTCATGTGTTTTTTTGCCTTTCATAATTCAAACAGATTTAATCATCAGACTGATTTCAAACCTGTGAAAAATGCAGAAATTAAGTGATAAAGGCTATTCAGAGTAGTTTTATCTGAGAAATTACTTACTTTCCTTTCTGCATCTATTATAAATTCGTAAAGGTCTCATTAAATCATCATTTCACGACTTTTTTAAGAAAACCAACGCTGGGTCTTTCGATGTTATATCTCTGCCACCGGAGTTCCTGTTCAAAGTGGAAGCATTCCAAAAAATAAACAAAAATCCGTATTTTCTCATCACTCATGGCAGTCCGAGATCTTCGCCTGGAGGCTACTTGTCTTTGATCAAGTCAGTTTGAAACGAGAAAAAAGCAAATTTGTCAGCTTAGAGTTTTTCTCTTCCTTTTGATATTTCCAGTGATCCTCTACTGCTCCATTGGTTCGCTGTTGATGTAGACAAAGTCCATCCAAAACTTTCTGGTATTCCTGTTGGATTACCTAGAGCAATCGAGAATACTCAACAAATTGCAAGTCGTCAAGCCTTGAAACAAATGAAGTAAGTCAATTCAAACTTCTGCGGAAGTTTTTTGAGAATTATATTGAAATTTTCAGAAAGTTCACTGAGCGGCCTATCGATCTATACTTGAACTATATCCTTGATTCTCATGATGAAAGGACGCAACTATTGAAGTTCTGCAAAAATCAAAAAATGGCAGTCGTTTGCAAGTATATTTCAACCAGTTTTATTTCTTTTGGAATTGATATTCATACTTTTCAGACCCCGTAATTGCACTTACGATCAATACATGAACGACTTAGGAAAATCAAAATTCGTTCTTTCTCCACGAGGCTTTGGAATCGACTGTTACAGAACGTCGGTTGCTCCTCAGATTTATTAAAACTTGCAAATTATCAGTTGGGAGTCAATAATTATGGGAGCCATTCCTATTGTTCTCAGCAGCTCGATTAACGAAATTTACACTGGGGAGAAAGTTCTTGTTGTTAATAGTTTCGAGGAGGTTTATTTTTTCAAGTTTTCTTTTATTTCATGTATTTCATTAAGGTCACTCAGGACTTCCTCCTCGAAGCCGAGAAAACCTTTTCGCAGAAATCGTTCGGTTTATCGCGCGTTTTCCGAAGGTACTGGGAGAACATGTTTTTCAATTATACGGTCAAATATGTACCTACAGCAAAATATTTGCAAAAGTTTTATAAATCTTTCTAAAACTTTTGTTTTTGGAAAGTATCAAAACAATCGAAAAAAAAACTTTTGTTCTGCTACAAACTTTATATTTTCAAATGGAAACGCAATATTTTGTATCGACTGCAAACAATAGATAGTATAAAAGTCAAATACTTGCGGCCCACCTAAACTGGGCAAAATGAGAATTTTGATACTCGCAATCGGTCTAGTCGTTGTGTCGGCCCACGAAACAGGCAGAGTGAGTTAAGTTCCATTTATCGTTGGTTGAAATGAAAATTTTCAGTGGGGAGTACCCGGTCTACCTCCAGCACCTGAGGTTTTCCACTCATATGACTTTTCGGAAAAACGTGAATTCCAGGGTCATACTTTCATTTGTTACGCGGTCCCCAGTCCTCCAAGAGAACAACCGAGCTATCCTTACAAGCCGACATGGAGAGCCCCTCCTTCCGAAGACCACCGTCCTCCTGTTCAATTTGAAACTTTTTCTGACCAATGAAATTTCAAAAACCGAAATAAATAAGTTTTATTTTGAAAAGTTTGAAGATTAGTCTGTTTTCAGATAATTGTTGAAATTCGCTCTGTGAGCCACATCTACCCATGAAAGTGGAGCTTTGTGGAATTGAACGTTAGCCATGAGCATTCCTTCGCATCTGGAAAATAATGGAATTTTGAAAAGGTGTATGAAAGAATCGAGAAATCGATTTCAAAAAGTCTCTTTTGTTTTACTGCTTTTGTGACCTAACAATTTTTTTTGAAAGGTGGAAATCACTAGAATTCGGAAAGTTCCTTGAAAAAAAATACTACCGACCCTGCAGAACTTTGCTGACACATTTCATTGACATCCGATAATTGCGTTCCGAAGGCTTCCAGTCTACACTGCTCCAAGTTTCTCATTGTTTCTCTGGCTTCAGAAGCCCAAGGTGCCATAAAAACTTCTGAAAAGAAATTATCTTCTTATCAATCAGGCTTGAGAATCATTATCTAATCGCGGACTTTATGAGGAATGAAAAAAAGATGATTTAGGGAATTTTCGTTCTCGATAAGAATATTTTCGAACTGTGACTCGTTTTTTTTTTTCAGTATTCTGTTCGAAAATTTACCTCCCTAGCAAAAAACATTGGACTGTACCTTGTGCATGGGAATCTTCCAAATGTGGAGTTTGACTATTTATGTTCTAGCAACTTTTGGAAAAAAAGAATCAGGTCTATACTCGATTCTTTCAGATAAATTTCTTGATGATTTCTTTTGGCTCGAACAAACTTTTTTCAACCGTTATGATTTACTATTCTGTGTGATTTTCGGTGGTTTTATTACGAACTAATGTTAGAGCTTCATGCTCCGCTGGGTTCCTGCTCGACTTCCTTGTGATAAAAAATTTAAAAAAAAACATTCAAAAACCTGAGAATGAGTCTCCTGCGGCTCTTTTTGCGTATTGGTCGCTCATGATTTGGTTCAACTTCGAAAGGATTTGATATGGAAAAGTTTCATTGTTTTGAGCCTTTGTAGGAATGATCAAATGTCTCTCAAATCTTCTGAAACGGAAAAAAACTTTTGAAATGAAGCTAAAAAAAACCTCAAATGGAGAAAAAACAAATCGGCGTCATTCTCCAAGTTGATCGTTGTAAAAGGAGTTTTTGTGATAGGAGAAATTTCGTTTCGATACACACTGTGCATGTCAAAGTGCACGACCTTGAATATCTATGACCTTTGCATTGGAAAAAAACAGTACTCTTTCCGGTCGGTGGTACATTTTCCTGGATACTCGATAGTCCCATCGAATGCTTTCTAACTGAAGTACTCGCACTGCGTGAAGATTGAATTTGATATCGGAAGGTCGTTTTACATCATCCCAATTTTGCTGAAAATTTCTTCATGTATGGCGAAAAGAATTTTAAAAAGATGTGCTTTTCAACCGCACTTCTCAGAAAACTTCTTATATTTGCAAATAAGAAAAAAAAAATTTAACTGTTTCTCATGATTAGGTGTTACTCATGATCTCATTACAGGATTATGATCATGAATGTTATACAAACTATTTTGAATTGAGGACTTCTAGCTTTTTTCTGAAACCTTCAGGAGTTGACTGAGACCTTGCCTCAATGAAAAAAAAAGTGTGGAATTTAAAAATTTGACGCAAAAACATGTCCGCGTTTAATCTTACTTTTTGAGAGCTGAGAATCCAATCAGTAACAAATTGTGCGGCGTTTGGATACTGTGCGGCGTTTTTCTCTAACTGCTCAACAATGTCAAAGTTTGAAGCGACAGGTAAATCGTCGAGATCCGTGTTCGCGACAAATTTGACATGAGACCTGAATTGATCCTTTTTTTTCTGTTTTATACTGTTCTGAAAAATTTGCTCCAACAAAAAAAACCTGGAACGGAGCAGACAATCGTGCATGAAAGCTGTCGCCGCGTAGCGGAACACCCTGGAGTTCGGGTCTTTCTGGTAATTGCCCCTGAATAAAAAGTTCATCAAGCATCCTGAAGGTAATAAGAGAACCTGTCTCTAGCATGAACAGGAAGGTCTGACCAATTAACGAGCTCCAAGTCATCTCCTAACTTTTCTTTGTAAAAATCCAGAACTTTTTTCGTCTAAAGGAAAAATCAAATTATAAAAAATCCGAAAAGTCCGAACCTGGGTACTATAACTGTGAAGGTAGAAGTAAAACTTTGTTGCCCCTTGGGATATCCATGATTCGAAAAACTTGAAATAAATATAATCCTTCACAAATATGTTCAAGTAACCTGTATGACGATAGTCCAATCGGTGAAAAAGAAAATCGGCTGAAGGCAAACTCCCAGTTTATGTTTGACCTTGCTGTTTGTGGTTCTGACGTCTCTTAAAATTTCGTGAAATCACTTTGAAAAAAGAAAAAATTCCTTCTATTTGATGGAAAAATTATGAAATGAACATTCTTCTTCCCAGCTTATTGGAGTATGCCTGGTCTCCTTTTCCTGCATGCAAAAAGCTTACAAACTTTCTATTTCTTTTTGATATTTATGAGAATTTCTATTTCATTTTTAGCTCAGAAAAAGAGATAAGTCTGAGTTTGGCCGTCCTTAAAGGATTGACGCTCTCATTGATATGAAAAGACGGAATATTTCCAACTGTTCTAATGAATAATTAACCACTTTTTCGGTTGATAACTGGAGCTTTGAAGTGATTTTCAGCATTTTTTGAAGCAAAACCTCTCATTTTTCGCGCTACCTTCAATGAATGTTTTCATAAAAAGTCCGTTTACAATCGCCTCTGCTGAAGTTTCGACATGAATAAATGTTCTCAAATCTTCCGGCTGTACAAAAACAAACTCACATGACGGGTACCATAACGAACTCTTCAGAGTCTTCAGAAGTGATGGGAATAGTACTGATCTGAGAGGTCGCTGGGGGCAGATGTACCGTTCCTATGCGAGTCGCCATTGAACAAAACAAGTAATCCATGCATGTGCTGTTGAAACAGAACGAATCCACCGTTTGCCAGACGCTTCCTATTTTAACCTTCAGATTTTTCCTGAAAGTGAATAATCATATACGGCCAGGTCTCGAATTTTTTCTATAACTCGGAAAAAATGTGAATTTTGTCGAGAATCTCCTCAAAAGTTTCTTCAGGCTGATCTTGCTAAACTTTAATTTCAAATGGCGTTCAAAAACTCGAACACAAAAAACAATTTCCATAATCGTTTGAGCTCTTATGTATGTCATGCTTGTTTGTAGACTCACGTATTGTCTTTTTCTTCCAAATAAATGATCCGGAGAGAATCATCAGAAACTCGATACACGTCTCTCACGTATATCCCAGGGAACGAAGTTTTTGGTGTATCAACTTCTGACAGATCTAAACTTTCTTTTTTTCTTAAATATTCGGGAACTTGTTTCATTTTTCAAATCATTTTTATTTTGTGACTTCCATATTCTTTAACGTCAAAACGGATTCGATTTTATCATAGTTTTAAGGGTTAGATTTTGACATCAAAACTACCTTCTTTTTACAAAAAAAAAGTCTATTTAGCGCAATTCTAAAAAATTCCTGAAATTCAACAGAAAAAACCGCAAAATCTTGTGATGGAGTCTTAAATATTAAAAACCGTTTAGATAGTACGGAGAGCGCAAAGTTTGAGTAATTTTTTCTCATTTTTTTTTCTCGTTTCTCATTTTTAAAATATAATTTACACTTTATTGGTGGTAGAGATAAAGAAAAAAATATCATTGGAAAAAGCATTTCAAAATAAGAAAGGTCATCAAAATATAATTTTTCGAAAGAAGAAAAAGCTTGAAGAAAAAAACCAACCATTTTCATCTGCTTCCCTTTTAGCTCGCAGAGTGTTTATAACTTTACTAGTGTCTTTTCCACTTCCAGAATCCTCTTGAAGTACGAAAATCACTAAAACACTGGCTAACAAGTCAAAGAACAATCAAAAAACTTGCCATATGCAGAAGTGAAAACAAAAAGGATTATAGAAAGAACTGTAAGACGTCGTATGCGTCTCAATTGTTGCAGGTTGACCGACATTCTCTCCCAGTCCAGACGGCTTTTCGGAGGCTTGCACTCCGTAGGTTAATCTTTTTGCGCATCTTGGCACTCCCAACAGAATACAAGCTTCCCTCGGAAAAATCGAAATCGGTTTCTCATCGAATGAAATTTTGAGTCTACAAAGTTTAAAAAATTAGGAATTGAAAACATAATGAGCGTTTAGCTGATTGAAGGTTTCATTTTTTCAATTTTTAGTATACAGTTATGTTATAGAAAATCAAATCAAGTTGCAGTAGAAAATTTCTCTGGAAGTGTTTTGAGAAGGACGATCGTCTCATTGAAAATTTTCAAACTTGAAACAAATTTTTCAAAAGTCTCAAAATCTAGAACAAGGTTCCTCATGATAGCAACCTGTGCGAATTTCTAATTTTGTTCAAGTTTCGAGTTTACCAGGGAATGAGGTCGAAATTAAATTTTTAGGAACTTCGAAAAATCACTTCTTCAACCTATAAGTTAGAGAAGGCAGCCCCGAAAAAAAAAATGAGTATCTGACTATCGATTATTATTATCTATTTTGAGATTTTTCGAAATAAATCGAGTTCATTGTAACCGAATCTAACAGTTTCGCTTTACTCACCTGTTTGCGCGACTACAATGTGGTCAACGCAGAGAACTGATAAGACGCTCCTTTTTCTGCTACTCTGTTTAGTACTGAGATATTAGAAGTCTTTTTCCTTGTTTTTTATTCCAATTCCACTATTTTTCGTTTTGTTTTTCAAATATAAAATATTTCAAATTTCTTCTTATCTTTGAAAACTAGTGCCCAAGTTTCAGCTATTAAACTGTTTTTCTGAAAATGAAACCAATAGAAAACCGCTCTTGTTCGAAATCGAGATGTCTATGACAATAATACATTTTTCAGCCAATCAGATGTACTCGACGTGGGAGTTTGTCAAAAGACACAAGGGAAAGTTCATAGCTGGTGGTGTACTTCTTGGGAGCGCCATCGCATTTTCTCAACAGAAACATCCAACCCGACTCGAGCGTCCTCATGCTCATACGGAGCTGAACATACAGGTGATATCTAAACTTCATTGATTGCAAGCTCAAAACAAATAACAGTTAATAATTTTCAAAATTACTCAAGCCTAATCTGGATACTTTTGATAAAATTGCGTTACAAAATTTTTTAATCGTGATAAATTTATAATATTTTCACCATTTTCAGCTGACTCCGTAAAAAGTTTATTTTTGTTCCGTATCACTGATAGATGAACTATAATCTCTTTGTATTTTTTCTTGTTTTCTATTTGCTTTTTTCGTTAAGGCCAGGAAGCATTACATATTCGACTCTACGCACCAATCCTGCGATCAATCAATCACTGACTTGATTCCGACCATTACTGCTCAGATAGAGGTAATCAAAATCTGAAAGAAGCTGCAAAGTGCTATTTTGAGGCTCGGTTTGACGTTGAAGCTTTGACAGGTAAACTGCAGAATGATCCGAATCTCAGTTCCGAGGAAAAAGTCCGGTTATGGGAGACTCTTAAGGTTATAATTTCATAAAAACGATCAACTTTGTTCAGAATATCATTAAGGAGCTTCAGCCCATGAAACATGTTGAGAAAACAAAAAATATTGTATTTTGTGGAGAAGATTGAAAGTATTTCCCAGGATTTTTGTGTCCTAATTTTTGATATTATTTAAACTAACTATGCGAGTTCAGATCTACGCTTTTTGTCGGATTGTGTCAGTTGCCTACGGTTTCTCGATTTTAACGCTGGCTCTGAAAGCTCAAATGTCGGTTTTGGCAGCAGACGCTTGTAGTCAGTTTGAAGCGAACCTTGGAAAAAGCTCGAAATCTTCTTCTTGGTACGTACTGAAAAAATTACCCATTAAGGTTCATGAAAATGTACCACTAAAGGTTCTCTTACCTGCCGGAAAGCATCCGACCCGTTGTTCAAGAAAATGACAGGAAACCCAATAGTTCTGAAGTGGCCGCCGAAGTTGGAAATCGTCAAATTTTTTTGCAATGCATTCAGTATTACACTCTCACTGGTTCGTTTTTTCACCCAAAAAGGATTTTTTTGAAGTCGTATTTTTTTTCTGAAAATCGATCAGGATGTTTTCTCTGAGCCGGTAGAACATTCTGAAAACTTAAAAAATTTTCAAAGTTTTTTTTAAGGTGTAACCAAGCTCATGGAGCAAATCAACGATGCTGTGGTCACTGTAGTTTCTGACTGGTCGTTGAAAGATCGAAGAACGAAAGACGAGATCCGACAACTGTTTTATAGAATTGAAGATAAAGTGTGTACAAAAGGGTTGATTGTGAACCTTGTTGCTCCCCTGAACCAATCCGAGGTTTTCCGAATGAGTTTTCGAAGAAATCAGTTCATTTTTCAGGGAAATTCATTGGATAGCGTTATAAAACTTCTGAACAAATTGAAGTTGAACATAGACTCTCAACGATGTTTCGTCACTCTGAGAAGCCTTGTCGACTTTTATTTTTCTGCTGCCCTCAAGGTGTTTTATTTGAAGTATTTATTTATTTGCAGTTTTTAGATGATCGATGGGGAATCCCTACCACTTTTCAACTACCTTCCTACGCTTTCAAATTCTTATCAAACTCTGAAATCAACTACATTTGACAGTCCTTTGTTCAATTCACTATATTCTACTGATGTTCATCAATTTGCTGTAGAGGTCTTCAATAGTTAAAGTTTAATCCAAGATTTTTTGCTTATCTCAGAGAGCATCCCATCAACAATTCTTTATAACAATGTATAAATTTTTGTTGAAATCTTTTCGTACGCTTAACATCTTTGCAAAAAAACGCTAAAGAGGCCAGAATCTCATGCAACACTGCGCTGGCGCGCATTTGCTCCTTTCTTCACACTTTCAAACGCTTTTTTTCTTTCCGCAGTCTCAGTGGCTTTTTTTGTCAATTGGTTGCTTTTTTGATTTATTTTTGTATATCTCTAATTTCTAATTGTACTAAAATACATTCAATGTAAATTCTCATTAACTTTTATTATAGTGAAAGGTGCAATAGTTATTAATTAAATAATATATTTCAATTTTTCCTAAAATCCCATTCGGGAAAGTTCTTATTTGCCGACAAATTTACCATTCAAATAACTTTTACGTCAGCATCAAGGAAACGATATGAATGTATCTTCCTCACAATTTTCACGATGTTTCTTTATCCGGAGAATAAATATTTTTTGTTCGGTGTCGATTTGTCTGTAACGTCAATGTTTTATTTACATTTGCCGTACTTCATTCAGTCATCGAAAAGAAAAACTTTCGTTGCCAGGGAACTTCAAGGAATTTCATTAATTTACGTATTTCAAGTCATGAACGAGCCGACGCCACCGGACGAATGTACCAAAATTGAAGAGCCTGTTCCGCGGCAACCTGGCAAGAAAAAGAAAGCAAAGAAAACGGGTGGCTCCCGGGAAGAGATGCGTGCTCCCATGACCATTTGCAAAGATGAGCCGGTCCCGGATGAGAACGAGCCAATCTTTGTTTCCAAAACGATGGTGCATCTCGAAGACGTTTTTGACGAGAAAGCCACCTGTATGCATTTCTTGCCTGCACAACGTGACAATTCTGCAGTCTTAATTGTTGGACAAATTGATGGAACGGTGAGAACTTTTATCTATGGTTTTCAGTGACAAAGAAATAAAAACAGTTGTGAATTGAGAATTCGTTGGAGCCAGAGGAATTTTGCTCAAATCTGCGTCATTTTCAGCTTAGTTTTCTCGCGGTTCCCGAAGAGAATGATGATGAGGACACAGATTCAGAAGCAGATGAATGTTGTTTTGATACGGATTGTGAGGAATCCGTTGTCGCCATATGTCACGGACATCTCTTCCCAAAATACGACGATTATAAATTGCAGTTAGTTTTTTTAAAAAAATCTTATTCTGCATTTGAAAAATTTTTTTGAAAATAAATTTTTTTGGGTGTTTGATATAATAATGTATCTTTGACAGAATCACAGCTCTCGACTAGTGGCTTTTTAACATTTTTTCTTGTTTCTGGAAAATAAATAAGTCCGTTTTTTTTGTCAAGCAGATGACGGTTTTTCAGCATTTACATCACAAGAATAACTTTTCCAAAGTCATAAAATTCAGCATGAATTAACCTTTTTTTAAAAAGAATCAAATCAAACTTGATGTTTTTCAGCGAGGTGTTGACCATCTTCGAAGAAGGCTTGATTATGGTTTGGTCGGTTTCCGGAGGAGATCATGAGTACCTACGCGTTGAATCTGTTTATGAACAGCGTCTCTTGGTGAAATTCAAAGATAATTTTTTCCTATTCTAAAATTTCAGTCGAACATCTCATCGGCTTGTCTTATTGACATGAACCAAAACAATCACCAAGAACTCATTGTCAGCATGACTGACCGCGTTTGTGAGTTTCTCAAAAAAATACATCTTTCTAATCAAATTTCTACAGTTCGTGCTTATCGTTGGAGCCAGAAACACGGAATTATCGTTGCGACACACAAATGGGAAGTTCCTGCTCAAATCATGGGCGTAGCCATCGGAGAAGTGTCGTTAGTTTTAATATCCTTTGTATATTTTCCCAGTTTCTCCTACATAGGCTCAAAAAATGTACAATATGCTCTGTACAAAAAATACCTATTCTCGGAATAACAAGAAAAAAAAACCACAGGGAAACAAACAAACATAAGAATTAAGAAAGTGCAGGATTCAAGATAAAAACCGTTCAAGATAATTTTTATCAGCGGCTGGAAAATTTTGTAGTTTTCAGGTTGAGTTTCAATAGTAAAATGAGCTTTGAAAAAATGACGAGTCGACCTCCAAGTCATTATTTAATAAAAGAAAATCAAATGGCTCCAATCAGTTTAAAATTTGAATAACTGCAGAACAACTCTCAACGGCATGGAAATCTGGACTTCTCAAGCGAACGCGGCTTTCTTCATCTCGATTCCTTGCACCGGCCGTGAACTGCCAAAACACCGGGAACCTGAGAATTTTTTGGATAGTCTGATTCTTCCATACAGATGTCATTTCTTGTACGTCACTAGCCGTTATACAGATCAGATTCTGATCATTGGTTAGTCCCGAAAAAAAAAGAAACGTCCATTTTCGGTTTTAGTGAATGGAAAAGAGCGGATTATGAGGACGGACAGGGAAGTTTGGTTCCTGGCCGCTACTGTCGTGCGCATGTCGGATTTCAATCTGATCGTCACGTTGGATCAAATGGGTTACATATCCATGTTTGGGTACAACGAAAACATTTTGAAGGTAATGTCACCTTCAATGACACCTCACAAAAAAATTTGAATTTTTTCGCAATTGAATGTCAAAAAAAAAACTTTATTTTGATATCCTTGAGAATTTCGTTAACTCAACTTTCCATCAAATTATTCGTCAAGCAATTTTCCTAATGTGACGTCATCATTCTCATTTTTGATGCAACGCGTGATTTCAATAGTGCGACAGATGACATAACATATCAAAAATCATAGTGTCAAAAAACTACAAAGAAAAAAACGTGACGCATGACAAAAAGTATTCGCTGTAGTTTTTGATCAAGTTTTCTTCAATTTGAAATCTGCATGTCTCGAATGAGAAAAATCTTTTGGGTTGACCCCCAACACCGCTGAAAAAAGTTTTTTGTCTCTGAAGCTGAAATAAGTTATCTTTGTGATCAGTCTAGCAAGAAATTCTTGCAGTTGAGCCTTCAATCAGAATCACTAGAAAAGTTTTTCTCTCCTTTTTATATTCAATTTATCAATGGCCAAAGTTTCCTGATAAACATTTTTATCTCGTTGAAGAGAATTAGAAATCATTATTTTTTCAAAGTGTTGGTGATCTCTCTCTGTTGTATCCCGTTTCCCAATTACCCCAAAAGTCGAAATGATTTTAAGAGGCAAAAAACAAAAAACTTTGGCTTGCAGGACCGAGACTCGTTTCCACTGGCTGAGATCAAAACAAGGGGAAACGCTCTGCGTATGGTGGCCACATACTCCAAGGCAATCGACAAATTATACGTTGCCATTGAGAACAGCGAGTGCGGCGTGACCTGCTACAATATCGAGATGCGCTATCTCCGCGACATCAATAACTATCGGAATAGTTTGTAAAAACTCTATTTGTATCAAAGTATAGCATACTCTTTTATTTATTTCTTGATCGGGTACATTCCCTTTCTGTCTGTACAATGAATGTTATTGAAACTTACTGCTTGATAAATTTTCAAACTGCTTTTTTGCTACTCCCAAAAACATCACAAGAGTGGTTCCTTCAGTGAGACCTGTTAGGAATATTTTTCTAATTTTGAACGCATTTACGTATTTGACATTTTTTGCTGTTTATCGACTGATTTTTAGTGAGATACAAGTATAGTAAATTGCTCTTTGAATTCGAAAAAGTATATAAATATAAAACCGTTGGCATAATCAAAATCGCGGAAATTGAAGAAAGGGTTTGCAAAGTCCGACAATTACAATCGGGGTCTTGTTGAAATTTCAAACTGTTTTTCCAGTTCATGCGAAAACTTTTCAAGCGTATGTACTATTTTTCCTATGACGTTGTTATATCAACTATTAGCAGAAGTTGTATTCAGACTGGATTTTGTTTCAGTTTTCCTCTAGACGCCTATCTTACTGTAAAAATTATCTCATAAGAACAGCTATCTTTTTTTTAATAAACAGTCATCTCAATTTGTTTTGTCCGAGGTTAGCTGTGAATGGAGTACACATTCACAAAAACATTTTCAAAAAGCTTTCCGCTACATTGAATGAAAACAGATCTGACGAAACCCTCTTGCGGTTCCCGTCATTCTCTGGGATTCCAACGTCATCTTTCTGCAAGGTTTCGTTGAAGTTTCGTGCAGAAGTGAATAAAAAGTTTTTGCGTTCCAAGACTCTTTCACCATGAATCAAGACGATCTGGCGTTGAAATCAGAGACAGTTCAGCGCTGCGAGATTGTTTGTCGAACGGAAGACGTGAAAAAAGGGCAGAGAAAAACACGCATCGCGGCCAACACGTGAATAAGTGATTGATGGTTGGATCGTGATATCTGTGGCCGTGGGAGGGGCGAACAGACCAAGAAGGCCTGGTTACATCATCTTGACGGAAGCAGCCTTCTTGGCTACTGGCACTTAGTCTACTTCATATTTAAAGTCTCACGTTTTGAAAATGGACACTGTTTTCTTAGTCCAACTTTAATGTGTTTACATTTTTTTAAACAGTCTCATCACTATTTTTCTCTCTATCTCGAAAAATTAAAATTTTTTTAATAAAACAATTTTTTCCCCATGATCCAGCTGATGCATCTCAAAAACGTTATTTTACCACACAATTGCGATTCACATCTTCCCACTCAAAAAAAGTTCACTCGATCAAATATACTTTTTTAAGTTATTTATACTTCAACTAGAAAATTGAACAAATCAAATAATTTATTTTGTTGTTTCAGTACAATCGAAAAGGGCAGATTTTTTCTCCACAGATCAACCTTTAAGAAGATAATCCACAGGGATCTGAAAAAAAGTTCAAGAAATCAATGAAAAAAATAAAAAAAGATAGCTCGCTGTACCTAAATTCATATAGTCGTAAAGAATTCATTTATTTCCCTCACTTTTTGAAATTTATCCAACTTTTAACTTTTTCATTTCGAATTTTGAATTTTCAGCTTACAAAATGTCAGAGAGCAGTGAAAATGAAACTGCCTCCACGCAAGAAGTCGTTCTCTCGTTCATGAAAAAAATGGCTGACGTGGGTTTTCAAATTTAAATGTTACTGTGCAGCTCTAGTGAATTTTTTTTTCAGGAAATGGACATTTTTGATTTGACTGATCCAAAATTAGCCAGAATGTTGACCAAAACTGACAGATTGAAACGCCTAAGAGAGCATTTTTATTATCCAAAGTGTGGATCACTTCCTGACGGTGAGATTTCACTTTTGTGGGAGAATTTTAGAAATTCTGAAGTTATTCAGTCGATACTTCTCTCGTGGATCCGAATAAAGATGCGATTTATCTTTGCGGAAATTCTCTTGGACTTATGCCAAGAGTGACAGAAAGAATCATGCGAGAACAGATGGACAAGTGGGCCAGGATGTAAGTTTCCATCCTCCCAAAACCTATAGCTTTTTGTTATGAAGAATCGAAAAATGAATGAACCTAGTTTTTATTGTGTTCCAGGGGCGTTTTCGGCCACACTACCGGAGAACTTCCATGGGCCTATGCCGATGAAGCGGCTCTGGATGGTGTCGCTCAACTTGTTGGCGCTAGCAGTGAAGAAGTGGCGGTTTGCAACGGACTCACTGTCAACATCCATGTCTTATTGGTAAGTATTGTTTGGTCAGTTTCTCTCGGGTTCAAAGGAGGAGATGAGTAAATTGGTTAATGTTACTCTTTGCGGTCTTTTGCGCGAACTGGTCAAATGCGAAAATAGAAAAAAAGTGTTAAAAAAAACTTGGATTAGGTTTGATCTCGATTTAGTCGCCAGAACCCGCGTTTCGTTTGCAAAACTTGACGCTCGAAAAAAAAAAACAGTGAAATGTTTTTAAATCAGCTGGATTAATCAAAAAACCGAGAAACAAAAAGTTGGGTTTTATTTACTTCAATTATGAAATAGTGTATCAGATATTTCGAAACTTCTGATTTTAGAATCATAGAATTTTTCAGAGCGCTTTTTACAATCCGACGGATGAACGTCATCAAATTCTGCTTGAATCGAGAGCGTTTCCTTCGGATCACTACGCCATTGAGTCACAAATTCAGATGAAAGGCCGCAATCCCAAAGAAAGCATGGTAGTCACCTTTTCAAGTTATTTTCAAAGTTTTCTTCACAGGTATGTTTGCAACCTAGAGAAGGCGAAGAAATCCTGCGAACGGAAGATGTTCTTGAATACATTCGAAAAAATGGCAAAAAGATCGCCATCATTTTCTTCAGCGGAGTTCAATACTACACTGGCCAGTTTTTCGACATCCCAGCTATCACACAAGCCGGACATGAAGAGGTTGTCGGCAAAACAAAACTTTTTTTCATTTTTCTGCTTTAGGGATGTTTAGTTGGATGGGATTTGGCACACGCTTACTGCAACGTTCCATTGCATCTTCATGAATGGGACGTTGACTTTGCTTGTTGGTGCTCGTATAAGTATGGATGTACGGGAGCGGGAGGACTAGCAGGACTTTTTATTCACGAAAGGTGAAACAAAAACTTTTTTTATGGTCTTTCCACAAATCTTGAGTAAGGTTTTCACCGCGAACCGGGTGTCTGACTTGAAAATATTCAAAAGAGGTTCTCTGCCTTGCATGGAGATACCAACGCAGAGCCTGCATACTTCTTAAATAAAACTATTTTTAGGTTCAAAAAGGACAATCGAAACCGGATGCTTGGCTGGTGGAGTCACAAAAAAACAACACGGTTTCTGATGACTAATGGTAAGTAAAAGTCTGTCTAATAAATCACGATCATTATTTGAAAAAATAGAGCACTCAGTTAGTTGGTTACAGAACTGGAATTAGAAGAAGGAGCGGCAGGATACAGAATCAGCAACCCTCCCATTCATCTTGTCGTTCCCATCATTGGAAGCTTAGAGGTCAGTTCGAAACTATTTTCTTCCTTACCACAGTTTTCCAGATTTTCAAAATGGTATCTCTTGAAGATTTGAGAACAAGATCTTGTTATTTGACAGGATATTTGGAATTTCTCATCAAACATTTCTTTGATCAGTCTTCTGAGCATCGGTATGTTCGCGGAAAAATAATATATTTCAATAAAAGAGTAATAAATTTCAAGAAAAACTTCCACTTCAATCAAAATTATCACGCCTGCTGATTTCCATGAGCGAGGATGTCAACTTTCCCTAAAGTTTTCGAAGCCTACTGATGCAATCTACAAAGAGCTGGTCAGGCGAGGAGTTGCTGTGAGTTACGAAAACTTCTTCATTTTTTCATGAATTGAAATTTTTGCGTTTTACAAAATCATAGTTGATCCACTTTCATTCAATTTTACTCGCCTTGAGGACAAAAAAAAGCTTCATTTTGACTCAAAATTTTCCAAGCTTATCCAAATGAGATCGTGTCGAACCTTTGAGAAGGAGGAAATAAAGTACTTGAAGCAAAAAGGAAAAAAAAAGCGTCTTCTTAATTACCTTGTGAGAAGCTTCGAATCGAACATATAGAAAATTTCAAATTGGCTGAAATTCCTGTTCCTCCAGGTGGACAAGAGATATCCGGATGTTATTCGCGTGGCTCCCGTTCATCTTTACAACAACTACGTCGATATTCATCGATTTGTCACCGCTTTGAAAGATTCTTGTGCAGCCGTCGAGCTTCAGATGCCTGATGAGCCCTCCATATAGATATTATATTTTTTCAGAACTTTTCCACCAACATCATGATTAATTTCATTTCATCGATTTTGTTCATTTCTTGTACCTTCTGTAAAATTCTTTGTTCTTTCACAGTTTTTGCAACGACAAATATTTACCACACTGTCGACCTTTTTTTACATTTTGTCAATATAAATTATGTTCGTAATACCCATTGGACATTTCATTTTTTTATATCACACTGTATTATTAGAAAACAACTCTTCCATCAATGCTTATATAAAAAAATTTTTTTCGGATTATCAATTTTGTTTACATTCAGTTTTTTTGCAAATATTTTTATGTAATATTCCGGTGAGCTTGTAAATAATAGTGAAAAAAAATTATTTTTAAGGTTTTTTTCTTATATTTAATGCACGTATCTCACTCAAACACAAAAAAATACAAAGTACAGTACGAAGAATAGAGAATAAAAGTTATACTTTTTTTCTTTTCCTTTTTGTACAAAATCTTAATGAAAATTCAAACTCGCAACTTTTTCAAAATGTTTTTTACGCATTAATGCACTGAAAACACAAAATTTTTAAATCTGAAGCATCTTCTTTTTTTCGTTAAAAGTTTAGGATGTATAATTTTTTTCTTAATTCAATGAAATAAAAAAATTAACAAAAAAAACTTCTATCAGTTTCTTAATAAAATCAACTTTTTTTCGATCAGTAAAGCAAAAACTGCGGAATTTGGTCTCGCGACGGAGCAGGTCAGCGTGCGCCTTTAATAGAGACGCCGTTAAAAATTTTTTTGAAAAAGTTGTTGAATTTCCTAATTTTTGTGCAACTTTTTCAACAGAAATGTTTTATTTGGAATAAAAATAAAAAAATTGGTTTTTTTGTATTATTTTTTGATTTTGTTACGCTGACGAAATCTTGTTTCTTTTGATTGGTTCATTTGTGACAAACCTCGAGAGAGATATTTCAGGTAGCCTCGACGCAAAAGTCGGCTCTCAACGGTGGAAGAAATGGAAGACGAAAAAAAATTATCAAAAAAGTGAGTATTTTGCCATGTTTCGAAAAGCTGCATCGCAGTTTCTTTTGCCATTCTGTGCTACCAGGCATTTTTCTTGTTCTACACCTATTTTTAAATTTAACCGGTGGGTTAGCTACAACTTTTTTTCAAGTCTTGCAATAAACGGTTTTCAGTGAACAAAAACGACTGGCCAAACAAGCTCAAAAAGAAAAGGAGAAACAAGAAAAGGAGCATAAGAAACAAGGCGAAAATGCTACAATCAAAGTAAGTTTTGACATTTGAAAGTTTTAAATTTTGAGAGATTCCGCTGATTTCCGCGAAATAAAAAGTCTCTCCAAAGGGTCGAAAAAATGCAAAAGCAAAAAGTTCAATTATATAAGATTCTGTCAAAGATGCTTTAAAGAAAATATAAATTGCAGATTGTGTTTCAACAATTTTTTTATTCAAAGGTATTTCAAGATAGTCTCATGATTGCAGGTGAAAGAGACGAAGGAAGCGGATCCGTCTGACCCTCAAGAATACTTCAACATGCGCGTTCGTATGATCGAAGGGAGACGTGCTGCTGGGGACAATCCATTCCCTCATAAATTCAACGTGACCGTGTCTCTTACGGAATTCATCGAGAAGTACAGCTCTTTGGAGAAGGAGCAAGTTCACGATGATGTGGTCAGCATTGCAGGTTAGATTTTTTTTTTCGGAATTTCTTATCTCAAAAAAGTTTTCTATCTTCGAAAGCACAAGATTTCTGTATTTTTTTAACGTTATCCCCCTTCTCCCAGCCAGTTCTTAATAAATTACAGAAAGCAGAATGAAATTTTTTTTTCTGAATTCTATAAATATAATCGTCTTATTAACAGGAAGGATTTTCTCGAAACGGGAGTCCGGCAGCAAACTCGTCTTCTACGACGTGCATAGCGAAAACACCCGACTCCAGGTTCCTAAATAAAAGTCAATGAGAGAACGTTCAAAATTTCAAGGTCATGGCAAATGCGCGCTACCACAAAGGAGGTGAAGCGGAGTTTGGAGGTTTGCATGACCGCATCAAACGCGGAGACATTGTTGGCTTCACTGGACAGCCAACCCGTTCAAAAACCGGCGAGCTCTCCATAATCCCTTCTGAAGTGGTGCAGCTCACTCCGTGTCTCCATATGTTACCGCACACTCATTATGGTATTAAAGACAAGGAATTGAGGTTAGTTGCAGGCTTATGATTGGTGAAATGGATGAAAATTTCAAAGGCCTATGGAGCGCATTGATTCGAATCAAAAGATAAGATTAGCCCAAACATAATAACTTTTTTCTCGACAAAAGTGAAATGCCGCAAAGTTGTTTGTGATTCTAAAGACTTCATATTATACCCCTGAGAATTTTCATATGATTCTTAACTCATCGAAAATACCTACTTCTTTTAAACCAAATCTAAACAATTTTCCAAATATCATTGCACCAAAACCTTCTTTTTACAGGTAGAAATATATTTTCGCCTTTTGCAGATTCCGCAAACGTTACCTGGACCTCATTTTGAACCCTCAAGTCAAAAATAACTTTGTCATCAGATCTCGCATAATTACTTTCTTGAGACGCTACCTCGACAACCTTGGATTTTTGGAGGTCAAAAACTCAAGAGAAAAACAATAAAAAAAGGATTTAGGTTGAAACTCCAATTATGAACCAGATTGCCGGAGGAGCAACTGCCAAGCCGTTCATAACTCATCATAATGACCTCGACATGAACCTTTATCTGAGAATCGCTCCAGAACTGTATCACAAGGTCAGAGAAACGTAATATCGCGCAAAAAGAGTAGTAGGATTATTATGTTGAAGATTTTTTTGAGCCTTTGAAACGAAACTTTCTTTTTGTGATGTAGAATGCGTGTTCCGAATATAACGATTATCTGTCTGAGATTTATAAGAATGGAAATTTTAATATATGGGAATCCCAAATACATGAATGAAACAAACCATAAAAACTTCTACCTTATAGTCAATAATTCTACAGGATTTTTTTTTCCTAGTCTAGTACTGAATCTTAATGAAAAATCGTCTACTAATGCTAGCAAACCCTGCCAAACAATCCTCTGAAATTTTGAAGATGCTTGTGGTCGGAGGAATCGATCGCGTCTACGAAGTCGGCCGTCTCTTCCGAAACGAAGGCATCGACCTCACTCACAATCCGGAATTCACAACCTGCGAATTCTACATGGCTTACGCTGACTACGAAGACGTCATCAAGATCACGGAAGACCTTCTGAGCAGTCAGTTCTTCTCACGAATTTATTTGAGGAGCTTTCTGATTTGAGGCATGGTTATGGCGATTCACGGAACTTACAAAATCCAGTACCACCCTGATGGCCCAGGCACCGATCTTGTTTATGATGTGAGGCAGATTTTTTTTTTCAAGTGGAAGAAATAATTGTTTAGGTGGATTTCACTCCTCCTTTCAAACGCGTCCACATGTACGACGGCCTTGCTCAGGAACTTGGAGTGAAACTTCCAGATCCTGTGACTCTTGACACAGAAGGTTGTTTTTTTTTAACAGTGAAACGACTGAGTGTTTATTTCAATTTTTTGTTTATTGTAGAGTTTTTTTTTCTTTTTTAAATTGAACACTGACGTATTTCTCAATAAAGTTTTTTTTTCAAAATTTTAGCGGAAGATCAAAAATGACTCGTGTAACTTGTTCAGGAAATAAACGATCATTGAAGTAGATTTATCGAGATTTTATTTCCAGAAGCCCGATTAGCTTTTGACAAGATTGCTCGAGAAAAAGGCGTCGATTGTCCTGAGCCAAGGACGACCGCCCGACTTCTTGACAAACTTGTTGGGGAATATCTTGAAAGCAAGTTCATCTCGCCGACTTTCCTCATCGGCCATCCTCAGATCATGAGCCCTCTGGCTAAATGGCACAGGTTTCTGTTAACTTTTTTTGTAAGAGACACATATTAGAAAAAATAAAATAATTTTCATCAAAAGCAAGTTTCTGAAATGAAAACCTCTTGAACAAAAAATGACAAAAACAACACAAATATATATATTCCAGAAACACTCCTGGGCTGACCGAAAGGTTTGAGCTTTTTGCCGTGACACGAGAAATCGCCAACGCCTACACAGAGTTGAACGATCCCATCACTCAAAGGGCAAGATTTGAACAACAGGCTAAGGTTAGTGTCTTCTGAGATTTTCATTGAGTTTCACACATAACCAGGCTGTCAAAAAGTTTTAAAAGAACATTGCGAACAATTGATAGTAATACCAACTTGGAAGGTAACGTTTAAGTCATATGTTCTTAAAAACGGGAAACAAGAACTGTGTAATTTTTTTGAATGAAAAAATTTTGAGCATTTTAAGAAAAAAAATTGAAAAAAAAAATTTGATGTATCGTAGGACAAAGACGCCGGAGACGACGAAGCACAAGCGATTGATGAGACGTTCTGCAACGCGTTGGAATACGGCCTGCCGCCGACTGCTGGCTGGGGGATGGGCATCGATCGATTGTCCATGATCCTCACGGACAACAATAACATTAAGGTGAGTGTCCTTTCCCAGAAATGTTATCTTTCAGCTTTTAAATGATCCCAATCCAAAAAATGAGCTATTTTTCTGTGACTAATAGATCCGCTACGACCAAGAAAAAAATTAAATAACAATAACAATTTCACAAAGCAAAATTTTTGAACATATGAAAAATGAAACTCTTGGAAGTTTAAACGATTTCAATTAACAAGAAAAATTTGTCAAAACTTGATTAGCGTCAAAAAATTTTTACCGCTTCACAGAACCAGTTTCAGGAAGTTCTTTTCTTCCCCGCAATGCGTCCAGAAGAAAGCGTCGCTGACAGCAAAGACATCAACCCCAAAGAGGAAACTTCATGAAGAAAGAAAAAAACCCTTTCTTAGTTGTTAACATATTCAATTTCCTTTTTTTCTTATTCAACAAACATATGACTTTACCATCAATTGTTACTGAGCTTTGTTTTTTTGTTTTTTTGGTTTTTGTTCTCAAAAAAATAATAAAATAATGTTGGGTTGAATATTCTATTGAACAGGGAGAGGATTGCAGTTTTTTTCTAAAAGAAATCAAACGTTTTTCCTAAATTTTTCTTTTTAGTTTTTTTGAAATAAAAACCACCTTCGTCTTAATAATCTTCAAGAATACGCTTTCAAAGAAAAAAATAGAACTTTTTTTATCAATTATTTTTGGAATTACATATGCTAATTGATAATTAATTAAAAAGAAGGATGCGAACGAATAACAGTAGGCCGGAAAGGAGTAACAATGATGCTTCTGCAACTGCGAAAATTAATCACACTTTCAAGACTCAAATCTTACTGTTTTTGATTGAAAACGGCCGGGAATGACAAGGTCGCGCAAAACTTGCTGTGTCAGAAGAAATACGACAATGTTGATTACTCCCTGAAATTGATACTCTTCATTTCAAAAAAATCATAACTAAAAAGAAAGGATCTTTTTTTACTAGTGGGCGAATAGCTATGAAAAAAAATTATCAAAATTACTAAAAAAATTACATGAATAAAACATCTGTAAGATCCGGTCCTAAAAATTCTGATAAAAAAAAAACCTCTTTGAAGTAAAACGAAAATTAAAAATTTGGCATTTTTGAGATTTCAAACTATTCTAACACCGAGAAATTTTGCCCTATCAGAAGCTTTATCCGTTACAAAAAAACGCCCCTGAGCCAATCAAAAAAATTGACTTGAAAGTTAGATAATCTTCTAATGAACTTACCTTATTAAGGTTCATCAGATAGAATACATTAGTTGGGGCAAATGGCGAAAAATAAGTGATGATGTCAGGAACAGTAAACAGTACTAGGGTATTGGTGGTTATGAGGACGACGGTTTTGGTCATGTTTAGTAATTTTTTGGAGTTTTTTGAGCTACCGGTCAGTTTGCCATGATGATAAATACTCTGAAGGAAACAGAGAAAGTTGATCGTTAATTTTCTGACTTACATGGCACATTTTGAAAAATACGGGAATATAAATAACCACACACAATAAGGAACAGACAATTCTGATTGAGCGGAGAAGAGCATAATGTTGAGTTGTTAATGACGCATTTAGAAGGCAGATGGAAGAAAACTAAAAGTTTTTTCTTTTCGGGGTTAAAAAGAACAAATTAAGACTGATCACAATCATATTTGAGTCTTCCAAAAATTGAATTTTTACAAGTGAAAGATATTTGATTTTCCATACTGTAAAAATCTCAAACTCTTTTTTTTCGAAAAACAGCTACAAAAGTGTTAGGCACCATTTCGGAAAATATCAAAGTTTCCGTGTCTATTTCTTTCCGTTAATTCAATACTCAAACCTTTTTCTCATTGCCAGTCGCGAAAGAACCTTGCATGCAAACAAACCATAGTGGTAAATATACAATATAAGGAATGGTCATGATGCCATATGCGTATTCAGGCTGCAGCTTGATATATTTTATAGGCAAAAATACACAAAAAAGACGGTCAAGGGCGGTGATCAACACCAAAACACCAGCGGCAGGAGTTATTATGACAAAAAGTTGACTATGTGGAGTCATGAAGCATTCCCACGTGGAGGAAAGGGGAAAATCTGAGAAGGAGTTTATTTGAAATATGTTTTCCCTGACTTCATTCAAAGTGTATCTGAGAAAATATTTTTTTCGAATTTCATTCAATATTCCAAGAATTTTATTGCAATCTGAGATCTGATTGAATAACTCGAAAGTTGCACTGTATTCGGACGGTTCACTATGAACGAAACGCATCCCGTAGCTGCGCCCGACCTTAAACGACTTGGCGCGTGGCTTTTTTTCAGACACCGTTTCAAGCGAAAACTTTCATGAACAATACATGATATAAGTGTACTCGAAGGTCTTTCTACAAAATTTTTTTCAAAGATAACGAGAAAAATTCACTTTCGTAGCATTTTCCTTCAATTGACTCACAGGGATACTGAATGACTAAAAATAAACGCCATAAGCCGGCACTAAGATAAGTCAAGCCAAAAATGACGTCAAAAAATAGGCAGGCTGCAATTATCACATATCTGAAAAATAGAGATTATCTTAATTTTCAGAAGTCATCGAACTCTTTTTGATCTCGTAGTTGTCTATTCCTGAGGATTCGAATGACCAGAACAGCATCAATGATCGAAATAAAAAACCCTTCGAGAATGTAACTGTACACAGAAGGCTGAAAGGAATACGAGTGTGTGATAAAATCCTTTTAGTGTGGTTCTTACCATATCATATTCAGCTGTGCTCTGATGAGAAAAAACCACGTGATTTTCTACTGCTACTTCCATCTGTCGTGCTGAATGATCATTATATGAAATTTCGTTGAGAAATCTAAGCTTCGGACATCCTAAACAGGACGCACAAAGCGAACTCAACGGTTGATAAAAGAAAAAGGGCGGTGAACTAAAACCTAATCAAATTATTCATTTTGAACTGATTTTTTTAAATGGAAGGAACACACTCCTGGCGGCTCGAATGGGCGATGGAAAAAAGTCAACAAGTCAAACGTCCAAAACCTATTCAGTTTTTTTCAATTAAAACCGAAAACGGAAAAAAATTCGAAGCAAATCTTATTAAAATTACAGAAAAAAAGTATTAAACGAGAAATGAAAAATGGACGAAGATTTTTCTCTTTTTGAATCAATATAAATTTCGGAACACTCGAAAAGTATGAACTTCAGATACATACTTAGCTTTTCATAGGTAAAAAGGCCAGTTGGAATATCAATAACTTTACAGATAGAGCGATCGCAAAATTTCGATTCGATTAACTTTCGATTGAAAAATTTCAAAGCGTTGAGAATATAGTCCATTTTTCACGGCTTGAAAGGGCGGGACTTCTCTGCACCCTCCTCGTCTCTCAACGACCCTCTCTTGTTGACGCGCTATTTTTGCGTTTCTCTAACCTTGCCGGTGAGAAAACAGAGAGACTCAGGCACTCGAAAATTTTCAAGTCGCGGCGGATGAACTATATAATGAAGACAACAGATGGCAAGGTAAAGCAACTATACGGATTTCATCACAATGAACTAGAAAGGTAGAAAGTGGAAAAAGCGCCTGCTTACCTCTGCGTTAGCGGAGGAAAATGCAATTAACTAGGGCTATGATAACTTAGTTTGAGTTGGAGTGAAAGTAATCACGTTTTTCTTATTTCCAGACGTTGAATCAAGCTTGACCGGGAAACGCAACAGGAAATAAAAACATGAGAGCGAATTGAACCCAAGAATCGGAAAATTTCGAGATTACATAATGTAGGTGTTTCGCTTTTTTTGGAATTTTCATGAAAATTTTACTTCCTCGATAAAAAAAAACTTGTCTTTGTTTAAATTTATTTCAAGGGTTTAGAATAGACATCGTTCGTTTCCTTGAAAAAAAGTCATTTTTTAATGTTTGAGGCGTTAATAAATAGAAAAACACATATTTTTTTAAAGTTTCGATTCGAAATATTTTTTTTCAAAACATGAATTTACAAAAAAACAGTCTTTTTTTGAAATGGTCCGAAAAAAATTTGAAAGACTTTATAGAGGGCTAAGATGGAAAAAATCGAAAAGAGAAGGAATACTTTGGTGAACTCCTCTAAATATCAGAAAAAAACATTTCAAATCTAAGGAGTAAGTTTGAAAAATGCTCGTTGTCAGAATTGTTCAGGCCTCAATTGGTTTTGAGTTTAAAATTTGTGCAATTGCAGGACAGACAGAACTAGCAGGAATCGGCAAAAAAAAAACTGCGAATGTTAGATTTTAAAAATCAACAAAAAGATAAAAGACTGAAAATTTTTAGAATGTGATAAGGCGTTATAATATACATCTCGGCCAGCTCTCATGAAATCTTGCTCCTTTTTGCGCTCTGTTTGCACTTTTTAGAACGACTTTTTGCAGCCCTTTACCAGTATGGAAAAAACAGAAGGAAGCAGATAAAATAACATTTTTTTATAAAAATTTTGTTAAAATTCCTCACAACAACATAGGATCAGATTCATTGACTACGAATATTTTTAGTTTGTTTTTCAGTTTCATTAGTTTCAAAACTAAACTAACAAAAAGCCAAGGAATTTGATCGGACTTTGGTTTTTGGCCTTAGCTACCAAGAATAGGAAGTTTATATTTCGATGACTGCGAGACTTATTTTATTTCCTCGTAACGCCGAAGAAAACTAATCTCAGCCGACTCTGTGGTATATAACTCCCTTATAAGTTAGGGCTCATGTAAAAGCCGAGGAAAACCCACCTAAAATTCAAAAGATCCATATTTTCTGGCAATTTGCAAGAAAAACTTATATTTTTTGGAAGCAGCTTCTAGTTTTAATTATGCACACTTAGCGGCGTTTGCTTTCTGTGAGATTGGTTTGTGGAGATTTTCGAAAATGGTTTCAGTTTTTAATACTTCTGAAAAATAAATATTTTATTAGCTCAAGAAATTGAAAATAAATACATGAATTCAAATTCTCATAACCGTTCTTTTTCTTCAACTGTATTTTTCTCCTGATTCAACTTTCTGAAGGCACAGAGTGAGACCCGCAGATAATGCAGCTGCACAGCCGAATACGACAAACATTAGGGAAGGGTGGACGAGATTCTGAAAAATGTTCTTGTTCTTCTTGTCAGCTTTTGTTCTGTAATTGAAAAGTTTGATGTAAATGACCAAAACATTTTAATTTCCAGTGGGTCAAAGATTTTTCAGATTTCTCAGATTTCGCATATGAAGGAGCTATCCTTCTCGTGTGGATTAGGTATTGCGCAAGCCGATGATTCTTCAATAGCGTTACATTTTTTTAAATTCTAGAAAATCTTTAAAGAATGTAGCTCTATTGAAATATTATCTTTTTGCTCAACACCTGGAAAGAATCTGCAGTTAAATTCTGAAAAGACTATAATGAATTTCAATTTTTTTTTGTTCAGTGTGTTGTGATTCAGTTTTTCTCTTTGCCGTAGCCCCTACATGAAAGGCTATGATCAAAAATAGCTTCAGAAATGAAAGCTGCAAAGTGGTTACTTCAAAGTTATTCGGACCATTTCATGGGTAAGCGATAAAAAGAAAAAGTTTAGAAAAAAAGTTTTTTTGGAAAGTTTTTTGCGGTTTTTCTTTAATTGCTCTTTTTTTCAGTGATTAATTTTAACTAACCAATGCAGCGGCCATCGGCGCGGCAACTGCGCCCAAAGCCCCCACTGTTGTGCAAATGGCGATGCAAATTCCTCGAAACTCGCAAGGAAAAAGTTGAGCTGCGAATATCAGAAAGCACATAAAAGCCGAAGAACAGGCGAATTTGGCCAATAGCCAGCAAGGGAGATAATATATCGAGCTTTCTTCAATTTGAAGATTATTTATTTGCAAAAGAGGATAATAGAACCTGATTGAGCAAAAATGACACCAACGTTGGCCAACACAGTCAAAATGTTCAAGACGAAAAGAGTCCACGTTTGACCGAATCTGAAAGCGTTTTGATAATATATCTCTCACAAAAAAACAATATTTTTTTACGGTGCTCAATAAAATTTTTTGAGAACCGATTACAATTTTTCTTTAATTATCTAAAGTTATCATCATGAAAACATAGGATCAATGCGGGAAAACATAGGATCAATACTTCTTCTTATAAATCAAAGAATGATTTGGCAAAATTTTCAAGGGTTCTAATCGCTTTGTTGAATCATTTTGGTCACTAGGAAAGCTCAAGCTGTTGTTGTAAAAATTACACTCACAATTTGAATAACGGAGGAACAACAAGATATGATGGAAGTTCGACAAACGCGGCGAAGACAAAGTTCCAGTAGAGGTCGCCCACTTCAAGAACTGTACTGGTGAGCGCCATTGCGTTGTGAAGAAAAGTCGAGGAAAAACTGAAAATATTTGGTTATTTTCGAAATTGGAACTTTTCCGTTTTTCTTTCAAATAGAAGCTTATTCGCGAAAGTTTCTCAGATTCAAGTTTCAAAATTTTTCAGCATTTGAAACCAATTTCACAAAGAAGGTTGTCAATTTTCGGTTTCCAGAATAAACTGGAGAATTCAGAAAACCAATGAAAACTTTGTATCATTAGAAATCAATTTTTCTCAACCTGTTTTTTTTTCGATTCTTTCATGCTCACCACATATAACAGCTGATTGCCAACAATGTGAACAGCTTCGGTTTTGAGCCCAGGAGCCTTATAAGCCGTCTTAAACTTGGTTTGTCGGCGGCGGTCTTCGTGAGGATGGATTTGTGAATCATTTCGTTCAGTTTATAGTTTACGGGTTTCTTGTTCCATTTCAAAGTCCTTCCTATGAAAATCTCTGCCTCTTTGTATCGATTGTTCAAAAGCATGTACTCAAAGCTTTCTTGAAGCCACCTGAACTCATTAATTAGCTTGTTATTTTTAAGAAAGGGGACTAACCATAACAAGAAGAGAGCCAAAAAAATGTTGGGTAGAGAAAGGACAAAAAGAATATCTCTCCAAGAATGAATGTAATAAGCTATAGGGGAGCACTGTAAATAACTTTTCGTGATTAAAAAAAATTTTGAGCTCACAATCGCGCAGCCGAAAATCCAAGAAAGTCCAAAAATCACTGAGGATGAGGCGTGGCTTGACTTTGGTGTCGATTCGGTGACATGGACCCAATTGGTGAGAGTTGTCGACTGAAACCAAGAAGTAAGGAAAGTCTCGAAAAAAAACGGACATTATAAAAAATGCCTTGAAGAAAACGGAAAATCAATAATGCTTCGAAAGTTGGGCTAAGAGCGCAACAAATGCCAAAAACTCCAGTTGCCATAATGCTCCATACGATTATCGATTTTCTGCCGACTCTGAAGATTCAAAGTTTCAAGAAAATATTCTGGGACACACAAATCTGAAGTAGAAGTGTTCCACAGCAAAAAATTGGTAACTTTGAAAAAAAATTTAAAAGTCTAGCTGCTGAAAACAATGCAGTGAAGTTTGCGAAATTTGTTCAAAAAGTGCATATTCTCGAAAAAAAAGAAGGACCAAAAGCTCAAAAAACTTCTTGCTTCGGAAACTTCAGTCAAACGTTAAAAAAAAAGAATTCATCAAATTTCAGAAAAACTTTTCAGCTCACAGAAACTGTTTCTCTCTGTGACCCTAACAATTCAAAAGCAAGAAAAACTCTTCACCTGTCAGCAAGACCGGAAAAAACCGGTCCCAAAACTAAATTTCCTGCTGAGAAAACAGTAGCAACAAGTTCCGGTCGTCTCCATGTTGTTGTAGAAAACTAAAAATGCCGGATTATTTTCAAACTCAAATCCAACGTTTCACCTCATCCTGAACTCGTTCTATGGACGTTCCATTCCTGGCAAGGTCCTCTGTGGGAGATATAAAGGCTGGAATAACAAGAAATGCGCCGGATAAGCCCCAGTTTAAGCTCAGAAGAAACGTCATCGCAAGGAGGTAGGGGTTCCTCCTGAACAGCAGAGGTTTTTGAAGCTCGACGAAAAAATTCTTACTTGGAACACTTGCCCAGAAATTCTTCTCTTGTCCGGCAAACTTTCACCTCATTCTCGCAATAAATCGTGTTTTCTTTCATTTCTGGGAAGTCGGATCTTGAATTTGAAAACTGTCGGAAAAGTTGTTTGAACGATTCTTTGTGAAGGATCAAGCTTCAAAAACTAAAAGTTCGGTATTTATAAAATTTTCAAAATTATGTCGCTCTATAAATGAGCTCAAATTTCTAATCAATCAACTTACAGTACCGTCAAGAAAGTTGCAAAAACAATTTCGGTCACAACTTCCTTGTATAAATTTTAATTCACCTGAAACTCTCTGAAGTTGCATTTTTTTCCTTTTTCGTACTGAAATTCGTCAAATTGTTACAAACAGTAGCCACCACCCCCACTCCAGAAGGCTTCAGGAAAATTTAACTGTAAGCAGAAAGATGTGGTCACATGCGTTTTGTCGTCTTTTCCGACGGTACTGTATGGTTTTATTTTGAGAATTTTCACGCAAATGAAGAATTGTTTCTCAGCGTCTACTTCTAGAAAGCGTTAGCTTGAGAAAATTACAAAACGTGTCCAACTGTACGGAGAAAATTTGGAAAACAAGGAGCCAGTGTCAACATACGAAATCGAGAAGGTTTTTATCAAATGAAAAGCGCGCGACGTAAACGTACATAAAAATACTGATGGTCAAACAATATTATAAACGAAAACTGGACGACTGCCTGTTGTACACAACTGGCCGGTTGAAGAATATCTGACACGAACGCCTTTTTTGTGTCGGTCCGATAATCCGCTTATTCGAGACTAAAAAAGGGCGCAGACCAATTTTGTTCCAGTCTCAAAATGCAACATGTATGAGAGTAGGAACTGTATTTACTGGGATTTGAGAGAGCTAAAAAAATAATCTGCGGTGGCACAGACGCCTTTTTAAATCCCATCGTCTGGGACTATAAAATGTTCTATTTAGAATATAAAAGGCCCACATGTGACGTCGTCGAGGCGTCGAGTTAACAAAACCCGAATATAAAAAATGTGAAAAGGCTAACAAATGTTCAAAACTTGAAGAAAACGGAACTTTTTTCACAAAGAGAGGGGAAAGAACCCTCATACATCGGAACACAAAGTTTACATGTCGACATATAAACTTTGTGTTCCGATAGATTGTCAAATCTTTTCATTTTTCTTTGGTTAATGTTCTAAAAGGTTGCTTCTTCACGTCAAATCCTTAATGAAGGCAATATCAAAAATTACTTTCAATTCCAGTGTTGCCTTAAATAGGTTTGGATACACTTCCTAAAAGGGTTCGAGTTTTCCGGGGTCATAAAGGAAGTAATTGATAAAATTTTTTAAAATCCGTATACGGAGTTTGTTAACAAGAATCTCTGGAAAAAAAAAATATATATATATATCTTCAAAAAGCCCTGCGGCCTCTTGAGAGAGCTAAGAAAAAGGAAGTTTGAAGCGGAGCTTTAGAAAGAAAAAAAACTGCGGAAGCTTTTTTCAGCGGATGGCTGTCCCATCAATGTTTTTGGAGATATCATAGCTTCCTCATCGGTTTTCTTTTTAGTTTTTGAAGAAAAAAACCAACACTGTCGATTCATGTTGATTAGAGCCGGAAAAGGGATCATCAGGCAGGTTCAGGTGCTTTACGTGTGATGAATGGAATTGCCTTTTAGATTTTTTTTTTCTAATGTACGTGTATCTTTTGTTTCAATGAATAGGCATTTGAAAAGAAAGCTGAATGAAAGAAAAGATTCACCCGATGAGTAAGCTTTCGATTCATTTCCTCACAAGAATAGATGCGATCTTTCCTACCTGCTTGAAGATTATTATGGGAAAAGACCGTTGTTGGACCTTTTAACAAAAATCTTTGACGCCGGATAACGCTGATTTTCAAGTTTAAGCCCTGAAAACTACATTTCTAAAAATTCAGCACCTCGGGCCTTTCGAAATTGGGTGGCTTGTCATTTGCCAGTATTTGTACTGCTGAGGTGATTTCAGAGATGTATTTGGATTCCAAGTTGAGCAAATTTTGTTGATATTAAGCCAGAGCATCAAAAACGAAAACCCGATTCCGATTAGTCTACACCTTCTCCATGTTGTTAAAATAATTAATCGTCAATCTGTATGTTTCTTAGCTTCTTTCAGATTACAGGAGTAACAGAAAGATCTCATATTCTGAAATTTGACTCTACGCGCCAAGTCCGCAGCCGCAATTTTGCGGGTCGTGATATTTATTATTGCCTTCGTTCATATTTTTCCCGTGCAATGGAAAATCTTGTTTTTCTTTTCTTTTTGTTTACAGGATAATTCAAAGTTTTGAAGCGAAAGCATTGAAAGTTTTGAAATTAGAGGTGACGTTTTTTTTAGGATATTAATTCGGCTAAAATAATTTTATAAAAGTTGTCAATACTTTGATTTTCTAGTTATTTTTTTTAGCGTTTTGAAATTCCCTCTCAAGTTTTTTTATTTCAGCCGAGAGTCTCGATATGGGTAATGGCAGTGCGGAAAGCGCTGTTTCCGTCGAGAAACTAAGCGAAAACACTGAAAAAGCTATAAAAGGTGAAATAGCGATTATTATTCATAATATCTTTTTTGTATTCAGAATTCTGCCGAAGCGAATATTGCCGTCCAGACATCGATTTGACAACACAAATCAATGAGCTTTTTTTCCCACTGAACAGTCTTTGACTCAACTTGACGCAGTTATTGTAGCGGTGGAAGTAATATTTTTGTTTTTTTGAATACAAGTTTATTTTTTTACAATAATAACTTTCAAAAAAAGAAAAAAAGAAAAAAACCAAACATCAAGGAAATGAATTTTTTTCATTTGGGGTTAAACTTTTAACTAATTTCAATGAAAAAAATCCCAATTTCCTTTTCAGCAAGATGTCAATATATTTTTTTAGAATGAAATCAACGGATTGGATACTGAACTTGCGCAATTGGTTGAGTCTAACGCCAATGTGAACGAAAAAGCCGAGGAAGCGCTTCTAAATGCTCAAGAAGCTATGCTTGCTCTCGAAATGAGTATTGGCAATATCCGTGAAAGAACCAAGTCTTCTGATGAGGTGCGAAACTTTAGTTTTGGGACTATGTTTGGTTGGCGTTTTACAGATTGTCCGTGAAATGACGCGAGACATCAAACAATTAGACATTGCCAAACGTAATTTGACGTCATCTATCACAACGTTGCATCATCTACATATTCTACTGACCGGCGTGGATTCTTTGGGTTGTCCAGGATTTTCGTCCGAATTGTATAAAGTGTTTCTAGGTACTTGGGTTGAAAAGCGGGATTACTCTAATATCGCTCGGCAACTTCCTGCAATTCTGAATGTGTTGCAGCTTTTCGATGGATACAAGGTAGGAAATTGAGTTTTGAGTCTATGATAACCTCAATCTGTAAGACGTTTGCGGTTTTTAAACTAAAATTCAAAATTTTTTGGTGGGCTTTAGAAACTTTTAAGCAAAGTTCTCACCTTTGTCATCAATTAAGATTATTCAAACTTTGAGATACTTTTCAGGAATCGGAACAAATTGCAAATTTATCGGCACGTTTAGACAGGCTCAAGACCACATTGACCCTGCAACTGGCCAATGACTTGAAGAAATCTTTTCAGGTGAATTTTCTTTATTTTTCATCTCTTTCGAAACAGCAGAACTTCAGACAGGACAGCTCAATGACAAAGTGACAGAAATGTGTCGAGTAGCTGCTGCCCTAGAAGGCAACGTGAAGGACAATTTCTGCAAATGGTAGGTACCATATTCTAATTGTCTAATTGATTTTTCGAACACAGGTTTATTGAGCAGCATTTGGCTGAATACGTGGTACTTTATGCTGATAACGAAGAGGGAGCTTGGCTTGACAAAATTGATGAAAGGTTAGTTTCATTTTTTTAGTTTTGATCACTTTTTTTCCAGTTTTTATAAAAAGCCTAAATCCAAAAAAACCTTTAAGAGAAATTCTTAGAAAAGCAAAAAAATATTCATATGGTACTCATAAATATGATTTTTATCCTATTGCCGCTTAACTAAAATTGAGTTCTTATCAATTTATTATTATTATTTTTTTCGCAACATTGGGATGGTATGGTGATGTTGCAGGGAGGGAAAAAGACCACTAGGTGGATTAACTAACCCCACCTGTGAAGAAAAAAAGTTTCCACATTACTAAAAAGTTACGATAGCATTTTACTTTTGATTCTCAGATACAAATGGTATGTGAGAAAACTGACCGATTTCGAGCGAACGGGACTGTCGCGAGTATTTCCTTCTGATTGGGACATGGGACGTCGACTGACGTCTGAATTCTGTACCGTCACTCGGTAAAAAGTGGAAAAGTAATTTTCAAGCAAACCTTTCTAAGAGATGTGCTGTATCGCATGATGACCCGTCGAAGACAAGATTTGGAGTGGAAACTGCTCGGATTTGCCATCCAACATACGAAAATGTTCGAAACGTTGCTCGTAAAGAGGTTTCCGAACCGGGAAGGGGCTGTTTCTTTTGAGAAGGTTGGGTGGATTATGTTCAACTAATATCTATTTTAAACATATCGCTTAGCAATAATCCCTATTTGACCAAAAAAAAACTTTGCAGTAGAAAGGGTTATTTTTTACTTAAGTTCTAATTTTTAAGTGATTACATTACTTTTTTTGATATTCTATGTATTTTTTTAAGGCTTCTAGTACTTGTTAAAAAGAATCTTTCTTTGTCCCTAAAATACTGGACAACAACGACTTTTTGAAGCTCAATTTATGTAGAATTGTTAAGTGGTACAGGTCAAGGTACACATTTTTTAGCATAAAAAAACGTATCGGCTAACTGTCGATGAATTCAGAGAACATAGATAGAATCATTCTTTTTGAGAAAAATAACTAGTTTTCCAAACTTTTTTCTGATTTTTATTCTCTTAATTTTTCCGAAAGAAATACTCTAATCAACTTTTTCAGTCAATATGGAGCGTTTTCGACTCTTTCCTTGACGTTTTTCTCGGCGCTCAGGAACGTACTCTGAACGACTTTCTGGAGACTTGTGCCAGCAAAATAAAGTTTTTGCGTTCCATCAATCAGTGAAATAACGAACTATCTCTCAGATCTGGCGAAGAGCGCTCAACACGTGAAGCTACAGCACACGCGATACCTTTCCCATCGTCGGCGGACATGTTCCTTCTTCTCAAGAAAGTTATTACTGAATCAAGCAAGTTGAGCAGCGAACCTGACGCGCTTCTCCGGTTAGACCAAAACATTTGCTCGGAGAAGTAACGTTTCCTATTGCAGGGACGTTGTCGGCGTTCTCCGAGTTTGCCTTCGTGGCTACGCTCAAACTTGTCTGACTGCTTTTTTGCCAACAGTTGGCGGGGCTTCTGCTCAACAGACCTCAACCTTGTTCAGTTTGATCAGAGAAGAGGCTACTCATGTTCCGTAAGTGCCAATACTTTTTAAAGGGCATCAGGAAAATTTGCCTATCACTTCTCTGAATGTGATAATGCTATGTTTAAGTAATGAGAAAAGGAGGGCAAAAGTCATTTCACTCAAAAGTTGGAAGTTGTGGGAGCTGTTCGAAACTCGTTTATATAGGAAAAGCTTCAAAATCACAAACAAAATATTTTTAAATTTGGGAAAATAATCCAGAAAATAATTGAAAATCCTTTATTTAGCTTCCGTAGACCTAATATTTTAGTCCATAAATCAGACTTCTCCGCCAAACTTTTTTTTCAGTTCAACTGAAAATATTAAAAGAAACGTTTTTTTTATCCATCTCAAGAAAAGTTTCAGTTTAACTGCCGATCAACAGTTTTTGACGTGTTGCATTCTGGCGACGGCAGATTGGTGCGCCGAAACCTCCTTGCAGCTTCAAGAGAAACTCGCTCAACGCGTTCCGGTACTCATTTTCGAAGTAATTTCTCGAAAAAAACATTTATCAATCAGGGCGTTGATGTTTCGCAAGAAACGGAAGCATTCTACGGAATAACGAATCAATCTTTGAACGTTCTAGTGCAAGATGTTGAAGCGAGTTGTGAAGCTGCTTTACAATCGATTAGTAAAGTCAAGTATGTCTTTGCAAAGTTTTTCATTCTTTATCGTTATTCAGCTGGTCGGCTGTGGACGGAGTCGGTGACGAGTCGCCGTTCATCGGTGCTATCCGATCACATTTGAGAAATGTAAGTTCGGAACATAAAAAACTAAAAATTTATTTGACCTAAGCATTTTGAAGAGTTTTAAAAAATTTATTTCTTAATTTCAGGCGATCCCGATGTTGCGCGACATGCTGTCAGACCGACGAAAATACTTCGCTCACTTTTGTCTCAAGCTGGCGACTCAACTCGCTCACAAGTTCGTGGGGGCTCTGTTCCGCTGTCGCGCGATCAACACGCACGGCGCCGAGCAACTTCTCCTAGACACTCATGCGCTCAAGACCTTTCTTCTGAACATGCCTTCAATCGACAGTGCCATCTCTTCGAAGCCGCCCACTGCTTACGTCACCAGCGTCAATGCTGCTTTGAACAAGGCAGAGATGATTCTCAAGGTTGGCAACTTTATGAAAATTTATTTTTTTAGATTCTTTAGGAAGTTTTTAGCTAATTTTTCACTAGTCTAATCATGTTTTTTTAGATTCCAGAAAATTTAAAACCATTTATTGCATTCTTTGAAGATAGATCCAATTTTCAATACCATATCCACAGGTCGTGATGTCAAGCTTGGATACAGTGGAGGACTTCGTTGAGCAATATACCAAGCTATTACCAACTTCGGACGTCACGGAGATGCAAAAAGTTTTGGAAATGAAAGGCGTCAAACGACAGGACCATCCGAGCATTATTCACACATTCAGGCAACTTTTCAACTATCTGAAAAAGAAGGAAAATGTTTTCAGACAAAAAATGGGTGATTCCACATCCGTGGACACGGCGATGAATCCAACTACAAACAGTCTCACCTCGAGATTTGTCGGTGGTGCCATGACCAACGTGGGAAGTGCGTCCTCCATGTCCGAGGCCTTCAGTGCGGTGGTCTCAATGGCTGCAGACGGTCTCGACTCCTCCTCTGTCTCTTCAAGCATCGACAAGTTGAAACGACTTGAAAAACTTGTCAAGCGAACTCTCTGATTTTTTCCCTCACTATTCATTGGGAACTTATTATAGCGAAGAATGGCTTGAAGCTTTGCAGTTGAAGTTAAGCCTAAAAACACCAAACGATTTTTGATAGTTTTTATTAGGGGATACTGGGCTACATTTAAAGAAATCTTGAAAATTATAGATTAGCAAAAGCAAAGAAAAAATTTCTTCCGCCAATTGAAAAATTTGATAAAAATTAAAAATCTTTTGGTTTCGTTTCTTTTCCTTTTTACGAATTGTCGAATAATATGCTATTTCGACTCAAAAATGAAAAAATGTTCAGCGTTTTTGAAAACTCGACCAAAAACTAAATTTTCCAATAGTTCGAACTTCGAAGTAACATCATATTCCCCGCCATGAAAATTTTCTGCAAGAATTACTCAAAACAAGATAAAAAGAAACCAAAAAGCCTTGTCATCCTGAGAAAGCGCACAAATCACTCTCCTATGCTCCAAATTAGTTTATCAAATAGGAACTCGAATTTTTTCTCAAACCCTAATAAAACCAGTCGCTATGCAACAATAAGCCATTCATCGTGCAGTCATTGGCCATGGGTATTCTTTTTTTTTTCATCTTCATTCTGATTGTGTTTGTATGTTCACTTGTTGTCATGAAGTTTCCGCGGGTCTTTGATATCAAATAAATTATTTATTTAAAAATTTCATTGTTGCATACTCGTTAAAAATGGTCACTTTTTGGAGAAGCTAAAGAAAGCGCTGAAAAGCAAACATTTCAAAAGTTGAGATCAGAAGTTGTTCAGAATGACACGAAAGGAGATACGAGCGGGAAATGCGATTTTTAAGCGACTTTGTTGAAGTTGCCCCTCAACATTCGGAGAAAGGCTGAGCGAAACTGGCGATTGGCCAAGGCATAGGCGAACGGATTGCCACTGCTGTTCAGGTAGCACATGTAGTAGGAAAGGGTGTAGAGAAAAGATGGAATGCACTCTCCTTTGCAGAATCCGTAGACCGTTGCCTGTAATAGTTAATTCCATTGGTATTTCGAGAATCTCAAAAAAAAAAGCTCAGAGAGCCCTAGCCTGAGAAAACGCTCTAGGCAAAGGATTGAGAAAGAACTCAAAATTAGACGAGGGGTGGCGGCATTATGATCGCAATATTATAGCTCATTCACACCTGGCTTGAGACGATGAATTAGGCCTGACATGATCAAAAATAGACAGCGTTTGGTTTTTGGAGAGCACAGAGAGGCCATGCTTTTATTTGTCCCAAGCTTTCCGTTATTCGGCTATGCCCCAAGTTTTCAAACAGAGTATCATTTTTGATGATTTCAATTACTTAAATATGGTTTTCTCAATTTCAGTTTGAGCAAAAATGTCTGTTTTGTTTGAATTTCTCTGTTTGCACGCTGTTAGAAATTTAGGATAGTTATTCAGAGAATACGTAATTTTTACCACCTTAAAATTGACCCAAATAAGTTATTTTATTCCTTTTTCACTTTCTTTCCTGTTTTCTCGTTGAAACTTTTTAGGAATTATTTACTTTCCTAACATTCAAAATAAATGAAGTTTCGTGGTTTAATATTTAATTCTCAAAAGCTTCCTTTTTCTTTTTTGCTCCAAGAGAAAATACTGAAAAAAATGAACGCGTTGTTCAAAATGATTGTCCCAAGAAAAACTTTTTCAGCTCACCATTATATAATATGGAGACCATAAAATTGCGAAAAATCCCACGATAAATGTGATTGTCCTGTAAAAAACGAATGAAGCTTGAAACTTTATTTTTCGCTCACCTAAATGCCTTGTGAGCCCTTTTTTCAGCTTTGGTTTGTTTTCGGCCACGATTGAAAACCCCAATAGGAGCGAAAATTGAAGAGATGACCCGTTCTCGTGTGATAGCTGTTGATAAAGAAGAAATTTTCCGCGAAACTCTTAAAAAAGGACTGTGTGATTGTGTATTTCTATTTGTACCCAGAAGCGCTGAGGAATGTTTCTGTTTTTGTAGTAGGCGCCAGCCGATCGTTCTCGCCGGAGCCTCGGCGATCAGAACTAATTGTGAGCTGAGGAACTGTTAAACGTGTGTTCTGATCAGCGTTCGGAGCATTATTGGCCTCCGTTTCAGAAGAAGAATCACTGAAATGACTAATTATCGCTGTGCACCTTTAGCCAATTTTTTGGGACAGAATAAAAACTAGAATATTCATATGATTTAAGGCAAAATCATCACTGAAATTTTTTTCATCTTTTGCCTCAAGCCATAAAACGAGTATATTCTGAAGATATTTCCACTTACTCGCTACTACTGCTGGCCCTTCGTTCGCTTTCTCGTTGTGTGTTCTTTCGAACCAAAGCTTTAGCTATCCTTCTTTTCATCGAAAAAACCCATCTTTCTGGTCTTTTTGGTTCCATTTCAGTTTGCTGTTCATCATTCTGAAAGAAGCTCAATTTAGTTTTACCTTGACGCTTGAAGGAATCTGGTAAGCGCTAACAACACGAAAAAAGCGAAACCTGGCTAGAACACTCAAAGTAAAGAATATACGAGTCAAAAGCCGAGTATTATGCGAATTTTGAACCTTCTGTTAATAGGGAGCATTCTCAATGAAAAATAGGATTTTCGAAACAATAACAAAGAATTGATTCAAAATCAGAATGAAAAGTGCACCTAGTAAATCTAGTCTCCTTTCAACGTTCCATGAAAAGCTAATTGTTAAAAACCTTTTTTTTCAGAGTTTTTTTCGGTACAAAATCATCATTACTCGTGATATACTACTTTTACACAGTTGTTTGTGCAAATTCAAATCCAAAGAAAAACAGACGTTTGGAGCATCAACTTGAACGGCGTGGCTGACGCTCTCTGCATTTTTTAATTGAGCGATCCTCCGCGGAGTCCCATGACCAGATTTTCTGCTCGATCGTAAACGCTTGTTCTGTAAATCTCTCCATTCAGTATTTGTTTTTTCTGGGAAGCCTGACTTTCTCAAACTGAGAATGTTTAACAATAACAGAAGTTGTATCAGAGTCGTTGTTTGAATCCGCTTGTTTCAGAGGCTCTTTGAAGTTGAGAACGGAAGAAAGCTCATCGTCGTTAAATAATTTTCGTAGCGAATCGCTTTTCTCGCCCTGCTCGTCGTCTTGTTCGTTGACGCTTTCCGAGGCACTGTGTCTCGAGCAATTTGATCTGATAGAATTGTACCGGATGCAGAGGGACTTTGACAAACCGAAGAGAAAACCGCCCGGCCGTTCTGACAACGCTTCTACCGCCGGCGTCGTCGGTACCGTGGCTCAAAAGAGACATTTTCTCCATCTCACTGCATCTCCTGGAGTTGTTCGCAGTCGGATGAGGTGCCGGAAAGTACGACTCCTCACTCTCTCTTGAAAATAAAAAAACTTTATAAAACGTGAAGGCAAAACGGAACCTTCTGCCGAATATTTCAATACAGCTTTTCTCTTCTTCAATTGTTCCCAAGTTTAGTTCTGACTCGGTGTTTCCAGAACCCTGAAAACATTGTAAAAATTTTTCATTTAGTTAACAAGACATTGTTATTTAAAGTTACAAATCTGGTTAGAAAAAAAATGACCAATTCGATTTCCAGATAATAAAGTTAGAGTTCATGCTTAATGATGAATATTATACTTCACTTGCCATGAATACAAACAGTTTGAACACTCTGTTTTTTTTTCAGACGAAGCGGTTAGACAGTACGGTTTCGAAAGAGTGAGAGAAAAGAGAGCGCAGACAAGCTCAACTGTTGCAAGTCGTGGCTAATGAGAAATGCACTTTTATACCGACATGCACATCACAAAGTTTGAAAAAAATAATATTAAATTTTTGTTAGAAACTGATGGATGAATAATGTTGCATGCTCTTTTCACAGCTGCCGTTTTACCTCTATAACCAAGGAATAGCCTTGTTCTACTCTGAACAGACTCGTTTCCGGTTCAGCAAAGCCGAACCTGCGCTGAGATTTGTGAAGCTGCAATATTACCCTACTCTGGTTAGATTTCAAGCTCATCTGAAAGATTTCCTGACGAAAGTCATCATAATGCCTATTTGAACAGAATCAAGCGGGCGCATGCAAACCAATATGCCAAAACTATCGTGAAAGCAATTTTCGAGAAATATATGGTACTCAGCCCTAACAGTTCTGTAACTACAGTCTCTCGAGGAGTTCTAAAAAGTAGGAATATTTCAAATAACTCACCGCCACCGTAGTAGTCTGGTAGCCGCTGTCTTTCTGCGCTTCTTCTTTTTTCTCTTTTTCAGCTCTTGACTGCAGCATCAGAGACACTCCAACCTGAAATTTGGATAAAAAGTTCATCCGGAGAAGTTCATGTTATGTACAAATTTGGTTGGACTGCTTTTATTCCGAGACATCTATTAAGAATTATATTCCAGGCCAAGGCGTGAACTGTTCGCAAGAAAATTGATAATACTTCAACTTGAAATCTAGGAAGAAAGGACTTCTGATTTTTTTTTTCAAAAAAACAATCAAATAAAAGCTTCCCTATGTATTCCTAACTTCTTCAATTACCCTTTTCTTCCCTTACAAGCGATTCATGCGTCTCAGAAGCCATATTATAAACAAAATTTTTTTGTATTTTTTGATGACTTTGTGGCTATTGTGTTTGCCTTGAAAAATTTGTTTTAGACGGTGAAATTAGACGCAGACTTGTTTTGCGCCTATTAGGTTTAGGTTGACTTAGATTTTCTAATTAACTTCAGGGTTAATATTCAGCTTTTTCAACTTTCTGAAAAAAAGAGAGAGTCTCAAGTGGCTCTTCGGCTTCATTTTCTAAAGCAGATAGCCCCTCAATCCACGGATCAAAACATCCTCGCTGGGAAAGTCTCGTTGAATTTGTCTTCCGTCACTTTTTTCACGCACAAACGAACTTTGAGCGCTCGAAAGCATAGCCGTTATAATCGCACACGCACTTACGTGAAAGCGCCCACACAAAAAATAAATGCACATTAGAGACCAGGACCCATAGAGCCGAACAAGAAAATCATTGAATAACCTGCGTTCCGAGCCGCTGACTAAGAATCAAGGCAATATGACGGCGTTCTTTTGCCTTGGCTTTTTTCTCCAAGTTTTTTGCTGCTTGATGTATTCCCTGTAACAGAAACGTTTATTTATAGAAAAAAAGCAGCACGGAAAACTTCTGTCTTGAAGTTGATAGACTATTTCATAGGGATATACAGAAACGGCAGAAAAGGTACAAAAAAAACGCAATTTTGGTCACAACATTCTTAAAAAAAATTTTAAACCGAAACTTCATCAGAACGTTAAAAAAACACGGTCATCACATCTTCAGAAATAATTAACTCTTTACATGAAAATTGTGACCGAAACTCCGTTTTTTCGTATCTTTTCGACGGTACTGTACGTTCAAAGCTCACAGAAAAGTTTAACAGCCAAATTCTAAAAGTTCAGTAGTTTTGAGTTGGCTGACTTTGTGCTTTTAAAAAACCTTTCTTTAGTTAGTTAACCTCATCTCATCCTTTTTTATTCGAAAACTCTACCTTATAAAGAATCAACATAGCAACCAGAGTAGTCCAATAGTAGGCGACATACATGCCCATGTTAACGTACGGATTGCTCAGAAAAGGAGCTGAGCACTCGGCTCCAGACATGCTAAAATTAATCAATTTATGATTAATTCCACCTTTTTTCTGATTCCTGGAAGCAATCACACCAGCGGGGTTAGAATTAGAAGCTTGAAACTGATGAGCTGTAGAAGGAAATACACTCACAACAGATTGAGAGAAGAATTTTAGTGTGAAGCTTCGAAATTTTTTCGAATTCGTCTACAAACTTCGAAAGGTATCGATAACTATTTGTTTTTGTCTCTCTCCGCTGAAACTTCGAAAGACCCTATCTCCTCCGCTAGAAGCTAGCGTGAAAGAAAAAGAAATTAATTTGATCTTGAATTCCATCAAGAAATGAAAGACGAACTAGTCAAAAAAATTGAACTACACAAAACTTTTTCACGCAATATTTTGCAAGGGACTCCAGATTTGATTGAAATCTGCAGAAAAATGCAAAATATTTGTAGGAAATCTCAACGGCATACCCACATGAGTACACGATTTCTACTACACCTATAGTTTCTGAAGTTCCAATTTGTCTTGTTTTGAGGCAGTTTTTCAAGTTGAATCAAGGTTCAGATAAAATTCAGAAAAAGTTATTCTGTTGGCTGACTGGGGTTTGTATGGACCTTCAAAAATGAAAATTGAGGTTTTCAAAGGATATTTCTGCCAATTTTTCAATTACTGAGCTGATGAAGAGACATATATTTTTTGATTTTTTTTTGCAGCTTTATTTGCAGAATTTCCTTTCATTTAAGCTTGAATGTTCAGCAAATCAAAGACAGTGAAGCGAAGAAGCAAAATGAATTGATAGAGCAAGAATTTCACACCGTAACCCACCTTCTTCTTGAACTGACCCTACAATTCAAATTCATTACATCTTCATTTATTTTCGGAGCCCCTCATTCTCTTCAGGAATTAAATGATGAATGTTTGAGCTTACCTTGTCGATTGTCCCGTCATGGCGCGCCATCCGTAAATCATAATCCCAAAAATAATGGCCGGAATTAACCATGAAAGAATTATGAGAAGTTGCGTTTTTGTTGGACTTTGCCATTTCAAGTACTTTGCCGTGTGGCACACTGAAAGAAACCGATTGGAAAGGATTCTCTGCTTTGGAATCTTACCAGATAAATATCGATCGGCCGTGATCAGGAGAACTGTGAGAATGGACACCAGACATAAGGTGTAGTCCAGAAAAAGCCACGTTTCGCAAGCGATAGACCCAAGTGGCCACCGTTCTCCTGAGCGTTGTTAACTTATCTTTTCTGATTGAAAGAATAAGATTATTTTATTTGAGGCTTGAGTCAGTTGAAATTCATCATAGGCAGTAGTCTCAAATCTAATTTTTTTTTGTCGTTCAGACAGAAGAATATTTTTGACATTTTTTTGGTTGTCATATTCTTCATTTATTTTTTGGAATCCTATTTGTCAAACAAGTTTCGAATATAAATAGAACCTTGGAAATATTCCTGATTTTTCTGTCTTTTTTACCCTGGTAAATCATGTGTCCTAGAGAAAATTTCAATACTTTTACGGAAAAAAACATTTTTTTTTCTATTCGAAATTTTTCCGCGCTCTGAGTTCAGTTAAAATTAAAAAGGAATCATCTTCAAAAATTCTCTGAAGATTTCTGTACACGTATCCAAACTGTAGGGATACGCTTCAATGGTGATTTTTTCCAAGATCTACGAAATATCTAGCAAGGTTGAGAAATTCTCTAGCTCTCCAAAAAAAAGAACGCGTCGTTCAGTCAAGTTCAGTCCTACTTCAAGCTGAACCTATTTAGTGACGTTCCGATACGAAATCCAATGTTTGCCCTCTGTCGACGATGCTCAAGAGGCCCGAAAGTGGTTTCTAATCACTGAGAGAGATCTGCGACGTCGCCGGAAAAGACTGCTCCTCTGCCCTGCCGGCACTCGGTTTACATGCGTTCTACCGACGTCCAGATCGAATTTCGAGGGTGACGAAGAAACGCGGCAAAAAATCTTAGCCCACGTGCGCACCATCGTGGCTTTTACGGATTACTGCTTTTCACAGAATAATTCAATTTCCCATTCGACTGCTAGTAACCAAGCGCGTTTCGCCGCTTTGAATTGGTGTGCTCCTCACCATTCAAGACGTACACAGTGAAGAGAGGAAATCCTTCGATGCCGATTATCAAATCGGAGATAGCGAGAGACACAATGTATCGGTTGCTGACCTGAAGTTGGAAACAAATGTTGAATTCTCCTGGAAAAAGAGATAATCACCTGTTTGCTGATGTTCCGTTCAATTCGATAGGCTAATATCACCATAGCGTTGCCGATAATAGTTTCAAGGCTGAGGATCACAATGATTATCCAAACGATAATCTGTAAAATTTTATTTAGAAATCCAACAGAACTTTTCAGGCAGTCAATAATTCAATTTTTTTTTTCCAAAGATCCATTTTTCATGAAGCTTTTTTCAAAAATCAACAAACGCAAAATTGGAAAAATAGCCAGTTTGGGCTCGGCCTGATAAAGGAAATATCTACCTTTTAAAATTGTCAAGCGCTGAATTTCAAGATCTCAAGACCTGTCAAAAATTCAATCTAAAACTAACTTGAGCAGTGAGACTGTATGGCGAATTCCAACTTGTATCTGGTACGGTGACGTTGTACATTGTTTCAAAAAAAGACTGAAATCCGTATTTCAGAAAAAAGTTAGTGAAGAGGGGAAAAAAAATGAAAAAAAAACCCGAAACATCAAAAAAACATTAAAAGCGCAAGCTTGATAATACAAGTCATGATGAAGAAATGCATTTAAAAAAATTTCAGAAATAAAGTTTACAAGAAAGATATCTAGAAACAAAAGAAAGAAATAGAGAATATTACTTTTTTTACAAAAATCAAATTGAAAAAAATGAAAAAGAATTGGAAAACTTCCGATTTGTTTTTAACTAAACCGACTTGTCAATTTTTTAACTGAAAAAAGAAAGCGCGAATCAATACAGTTTACGTGTCATTTTTGAATTATATGATGCTTCTTTTAGTCTTTGAAGCAGTTTTTTTTATTTGATTATTGAGCTGTTTAATGCTCAAAAATTATTGATACATAGAAAAAATGGCTATCGAAAATAAGAGAGAACTGAAAAGGACGTCAAACGTAGAGAAATTCAGAAAATGTCGTTTCAGAAGAGACTTCAAATAGATGACGCTCGAAAGTCAGCTTTTCTCCGCTTTTGTTCTTGAACAAAAAAAAACCTACACCTTTTTTCGCTGGTTATTTATTTGGTTACGCAGGTAATACAAAGTGATATTATTCAATCGGCTACGTGAATTACATTTTGAAGAAAAAAAGACGAGAGACGACTCAGAGAAAGTTTCTCTTTCTTCCAAAACACTTGCCTGTCTCCAAAAGAAAAAACTCTTGTAAGAAAATACATGAGAACATGGATAAACTCTTGATGATTCAAGAAGAATTTCGCTCAGTGAAAATCGCAAAGTTTGTTCACGCTTGAAATAAGTTTTACTTCAAGCAATCAAGCATATTAATAAGCCCATTCAAGCTTTAAAAATTTTGGGAAGCTTCAATGCACCGCCTGCTGGAATCGGTTAATTCGAGATAAATCAAATAAAAGATTATCAATGTCGTGAGCGTTTTAAAACGCGCGAATCGATTGGCTCAACATTTAACAACTACAAAAGCTGAAAACAAAAATGCGCCTGACCAAAAAGCTTCTTCCGCGCGTCCGCACATTTTCATGAGTCGAAAAAGACCAAGTTGTAGAAAATTCAGATGAACTTGCCCGCATGCGCAGAAGTAGAAAAACCTGATAAATACTCTTTTTCTTCTCAGTTCAGTTATGGTAAATCCTCAAAGTGAACTGCTAAGTTTCCTCAAACTCTCAAGCGGTCATTGTGTACTTATTTTGTCAATTATGGAGCAGAGATGTCATTCAACAGTCTTATAGTCAGTGTACCACGACTAGAACTTTCACGGAATGACATTCCGCTGTTACACTTTGTGCGTTCGCGAAGCGTCTTTCGAATTTAGGTTACGATTTCAATTGATTTTCATTGCTGTTAGAGAACATGAAAGTAGAGCACCTTAATAAGAGAGAATAAAATTGAAAAGCGGGACCAAGGTTCGCGAACGCACGAAGCGGCACAGCGGAATGTCGTTCCGTGAAATTTCAAGTCATGGCACACAGACTATTTAGCAGAAGTATGAAAAAAAAATCAGAACTTCATTCTAATTTAGCTTTCACTAAGACGGAGAAGCAGTGATCGTCGGAAACGCTCGAAAGTCGTCTACTACTATCACAAGAAAGACGAGATGCTCTACGCGCCGTCTACGTTTGATCAACAACAGTTTCGCAAACCGACGAACAACTCTTCAATTATTCCATGATTCAGCAGAGTACCTTCTCTGAAGACTGAATAAAGTTAAAGTTAAAGTTAAAGTTTCACTAAGAAAAAAACCTTTAATAAGAAATCGTTTTGAAGAAGAATATAAACACTTGATGACATTTAGAAAGGGAAGTAATTGGAAGCATAGTTGAAAAAGAACAACTCCCAAAAAAGCAACAAAGGTCAGGCAATAGGGAAATATCAGCAGATCGGGTTTTCTCGTCCTCCCTTTCGAATCTGGCACAGCGTCAAGTGACATTTCCGCCAACACTCGCTGTTCTTCTTGCCCCACCCTTAGCTCCAGAATTGTAGTCTGCACATGTCGAGAAGTCTTAGCTACATTTTCGCTCGCTTCTAGACTTCTCCTATAAGCAACCATCTAGAAGACTCAGAAAAATATTAAAAATCAGTCGAGCGTCAATCCTCATCCGAGAAAGGCTTGAGTCATCTTTGAAAATAGGGGGTCTTTTGTGAGGTGGGCAGACAAGTTATGTCATTTTTGGTCTTCAAAAGCTTCATTTTGGAAGGGCCATGGACGAAACTTCCGAATGAAGTTCAAGTTTTGATATCATCTACAAACTTTCTGAGGTATTTTTACAAAATGAGATTCCGCGGAAATAAGCTTCAGGTTATCTTTATTTTGTAAAAGTCAATATGGAAAAATTAGTTTGAGTCAATAATGTACATACAAGCACACATAATATAAACTGAGACATGTATCCATTCCAAAGGTTCTTTACGCGCTTATATGAAAATTTATAATTTCTATCGAGATAATTTTTTTGAATTACTTATGACGAAAAAAATCATTTTTTTCAATAAGATTTATTTAAAGGTGTAAAACTAGAAAAAAAGTATTCAGCTGTTTTTTTCCTCAATTTGAAAAATATTTAATCCAAGAGTCACTCAGAATAATAACATTTTTTTAGTCCTGGAAAAAGATTTTTGAAATATGTTTCCATCTTCAATGAGATAATTATGAAGCTGATGATTTTTGAATGCTCATCGCACTGAGCCAAAATTATTCCAAGGTAAGAGAACATTCTTGAAAACTAAGTACAAAAAACCCGCTCTGAAACTCACCAGACCATGAAATGTTAACTTAGCAGATTTTCATACTTCCTCAAGAGTTGCGAAAAAAATCGCAATATGGAATCGCGAGGCGTTTCGAACTTCGCTAAGCCTAAAAGAGTGATATCTAGGAAAAAATGTCTGCTTTATGACAAAAATAAAAAAAATAAAGTTAAGTAAACGTTTACGGTGCCTTATCCTAGAAAATCAAATTTTCCGTGAGATTCAAGTTGATCAGAATTTCAAAAAAAAATTGCAGAAGAAGAGCAAAAACGAGAAGAGCCAATCAGCTGCGTCAATCGGGGGCATCCTCAAGAGGCTCGGCCTGGATAACTCGTCGGTTTTCGGTGTTAGCTCTTCCTTTTTCAGATGATGAGTGTGCTTTTTTGCTCTATGATATGCATTTTTTTATTTGGCTTGTTTCAAAAAAAGCTGTCAAGGAAAGTTCTAAAAAAATAAATCCCAACAATCACAATTCCGGTAAAACTATCGTTCTCCGATTGAATAATTGAATTTTTTTCTTCCATAAATGTTCTAGATTTCAAATAAAAAAAGACTCCAATTTTTCAAAATGAACATTTTCTAGGGTTTCTTTTTTTCCAAAAAGTCAGTTCATCAAAACTTCTGGAATTCTGATCTTTTTGCGACGAATGAATTTCCAGAGTTTATCTCTTTGTCGGTTGATTTCATGTAAAAAAAAAACTGGATGTTTGCCTTTACACAGTTAGTGAAAATCCTTCTCAAAGTATTGAGAAATCAACTATTTCCTAATCTATAAACGATTCTCAGTAGAAGTTATCATGGCTTATAGTAATCACGAAACGACCGCGTTGAACACCATCACAGTGGAAAACTTTAAAATCAGTTTGAGATGATTTTCAATTAGAGAATTCAGTCATTGACCTCTCGAAGACGGAAAATCTTGGAGAAGAAGGAAAAAGAGAATTCAGAAGAAAAGGTTTGAATGCTGAAAAGCGGACAAGAATAACTTCCAGTAAGTCGTTTCATTCCAGTCAAAACGTAGCCAAGGTTACAAAAATATTTTCATAAATCCCCATTTTTAGAATCTTCTATACAACAAATTCTGAAATATCAAAAAGAGTGAATGGGAGTGATTTCACGTGGTTCTATGAATGAAGACTTGATAAACAGAGCAGAATTACCGGAATTTTTTTTAAACCTGTTCTTCTTAATCAAAGAAGATCATTGAACTTGATAAGATGGAGAATTTCGACTCTTTGGGTGAAAATTAACATGATAACCTTTTATACTCATTTTTAAGTAAGGTAAAGCCCATAAAAACAATGTCCCAAAGAAACAAATTAGACAAGAAAGTTGGCGAGCTTTTGAGCTTTGTTTGCCGAAATCTGTACAAACACGACTCAACACTGAAATAGTCCCATCAGAATGTTTCTTTGAGCTTTCAACGTTCCACCTTGATCCTCGAAATAGAGCGAAAATTGTTCCTTGAGACTTAAACTATTCTAATTTGTGTGTAGAAAAAATTGAGAAAAGGTCAGTGCTGTGCTGGGATTTTCTGAGACCCTGTGAATATTCGAAATTTTCACAATCTTGAAAAAACTTGAAAATCTATGAAACTTAATAATACTGGAAGAAAAGCCATTTGAAGAACGGATATCTCAAAAATATGATCCCATTTCTCAAAAAATCTTCATTTTCTTGGTTTTGCAAGAAGTTCTAGAAGCAATCATGAAAAAACCAAAAGGATACAGTGTAACTAAAACGAACTTTTTTAGGAATCTCCGGCGCCGGGGTTCAACAGAAGGAAATCGGGGCCTCTCAATTGCCGCAAGTGGCAGTGCCGCGCCCAAAGAGTAGCAATTTTCCAGTGGTTTTCCTTTCTAAGCGTTTATGTACGTACAAACAACAACGATCCTGAATATTTCGCTCTCCACTGAGAATTTCAGAAGAAAGCGGGTGGAAAAGGCTGAAATGAATATCAAAAAAGAAAACGGCGCAGAGGATCTTTTGTCCTTTCTGTTAAGATGGGACATTTATCAACGAATTTTCTTATTTTGAATTCAATCCAGAATTAATAAGGCTCATAGAAACACAATTTCCTGTTGCAAGATATATGTATTTTTTCTTGTTTGTGGATTTTTGGATAGATTATTCCGAAGAAAAAGTGGACAAATTGGTATGAATTTTGTATGAATTTTTTCGAATTTGTTGTTTTTCTCAACTTTCATGGTCAGAAAAGTGGAATGATTGGACAAGTCGTGAATGAAAATAGGATTGACCCTACAACTGTGTGGTAAGCATACTAAAACGATTCTCTGAACAAGAGTTTTGACTTGAGTCAACCGCGACGTGGCCGCGATGCATAGCGCGCATAACCAAAACTTTTTGATAATCAAACAAGAAAAAGGTGGAGAACAAACAATTTTGAAATGAATATTTGAAAATCGTTTTTCAATATGACTTTTGACGCCCAATGTAGACCGAAAAAAACAATAAGCAAAAACTTTTATAGAGTGTTTAGCACAAGTTCTACTATAAATGAGAAGAAACATGTGTTGGCAGTGTTCCGGTTGGTTGAACCTTAACGGCACTGAGTTAATGGAGAAAAATCGGCAAAAGACCAAAGCGTAGCAACGGCCTAGCGGAGATCCAACTTCCGTCTAGATTACCATTCATAGTGTTTCAATGAAAAGAAAACATCTCACTCTCGTTCCGCTCTGCAGTTTGAATAGGTAATGGGAGCTGGAGCTCATCTCGATAAGGTCATCAAGGATAAAAGAGGATATGAAGAACACATTCAAAGCTGTCGAGCAGAGAAAAAAACTTTTATATTTGGAAAAAAATTGTCAAAATCCTATAAGAGATGAAATATGATATTCATGAAAAAGTTATCAATACATTTTACTAGGTCACATTAAAAGAAGCTGTGGCCGGTTAAACATTCATCAAACATTTTTTTGATGACTTGAAACCGAAAGGTAAACTTTTTCAAAGTTTTTCATGATAATAATTTTTTTGTAAACTTATCATATTGTGTGATATTCAGTTTTTTTTTTGAACGTTTTCTCGCAGAAAATTAAATTTGGCCCGACATAGGAAAGCATGCAGGTGCGTGTCAATTTGGCCTTAAGCACAGAGTCTTCATCAAAAAATAAGTTTCAGACTTTTTCTTCTCAGCAGACGAGATCAAAAAACTTTTGTAGAAGTGTTCCTTGGAAGATTGAAGCGCTAATGTGGGAGTTTTTCGGCGAGGGACGCGAATGAAGTGGGTGTTGTGATGTAACGAAGCGAGACATATTTGCCATAACCGATAAAAAAAGAGCCAAAAAAAGCCAAGTTTTGGCGGCCTTCTGGGGATGAGCTGCGGCCTCCGACGTCAAATGCTTATCTCGTGGAGTTTTTTTGCCGAATTCTAATGATAGAAAGGTAGAAAAGTATCAAAAGCTGAATTTTCTCAGAGTTTACGCGGATCGAGGAGAAAGGTAACGCGTTTCACTGTCAATCAAAAAATCGCTACTTTTCTGTAAAAATCTCTAATTCTTACAGTCCCACAAACACAAATTCCAAAATCTGTTGCGAGTTAGTTTGGAAAAATAAACATATACAATTATTCGTTACATTATTACACAAGAAAATATAGACACCCGTTATAAAAACGCTCTAACGAGCGAGTTTCCGAGATAAAAGACAAGTATCGAAAATCATTTGAACTATTTTGTTACAATTCTAAATGCTTCGTCCGCTTATGGAACGGCTCAAGACGCTGCGGCGGGGTTGCGATCAGAATAAGGTCGAGCATCCAGACGAAATTTCGGTTTCAACCCGCTTTGAAAAACTTTCGACGTGCCAAAACGCACTTACTCGGCAGTTTTCTATCTAATCCTCGTGCATCTATACCATTCCAAGACGAAGTGAGTACACTAATATGATTGAAAAAACAATGGATAAAAAATATTCGAGAAGAGTTATTGAAAACTTTCTGCGCTATAAATTCTGAAAGATTCAAAAATTTTACCAATCAATCGAAAAGGCTGTGGGAAAAAAACAAAAACGAAAGACGATGCCAAAATCAGCAAAGAAGAAAGAACATCTCATGAATCCTTCTCCTTCTGTTCGAAAAGAGCAAATTGAGGGTTTACCAGAAAAGAAGGAAAAGAAGTTTATTGCGGAAATAATATATATTCTATGCTAATCTGAAGCTTTTATGTATGTCTATCTTAAGATTCGTTAGCTTTCCTCTTTATAACTTGAGATCTCTTCCATTAACTACAAGCAATTATCATCCTTCCTTTGGAAATGTATTTTTTTCATCATTTGAAGAAAAAAATTTGATTGAACTTTTTATAATTTCTACCAATTATTCGAAAATCTTTTCAGCTACTTATTTTTTAAAACTTCAAAACTTCAATAGTATTGTTGAAAGATGATGAAAATTAACTTTCTAATGAGGAAAGACTTGTTTTTGAAAGCATTCAACCTTGTTTGGCAACTTTTTTTTACGTTTGCACTTTTGGAATAGTAATCGAGCGAATCCCACTGTGTTTATGTCCGCTCGGCAAGTGACTCCATAAATTTTGACTATTGAGACGGAAAAGGCCAAAGAAGCGAGTCAGATAGATGAAAAAAGGAGGCGGCAGTTTGGAGGAACAGAATAAAGGCGGCGAAGCAAGGATCGAGCCCCCAAAGAAATCTTAGAGGAAGATTAACAAGGATAAGCTCTCACTTCTTTGTAAATCACAATTTTGTCCCCGTCTTATATTCGTTTTTCATTCTATTTTTTTGCCTTTCTGTATCCTTTCCGTTAATGGAAATCGTCAACCAGTTTTGAATGCACAAATGGAAAATGTTTTAATGCTCTGACTTTTTTAGGAAATTTCAAAAAATCTTTGAAAAAACGATGATGATCCTGGAAGCTGCGATTTTTTTAATGAAAATTTAAAAAAATTAAGCTTTTTCATTTTTCAGTGCATCTTTTATTGAACCGGAAGGTTTTCTTTGGGGCATCCTTTCACAAAAAATGATTTCAGACCTTGTAATTTCATTCACGAATTCAAGAATCATTTCCGCCAATGTTCGAAATTTTCAAGTCTTCAGTGAATTGTTGTTTCAGCTTAAAGTTTTTAATATAAAAGTTCAAATTTAAACCAAAAAAAGTTAGAATTTTTTAAAGTTATGAATGATAGAAGAATGGAATATGCTATAGTGTGAAAGAAAAAAAACCAATAGCCCTTCGCCGACAAATTGTTCATAAATTCAATTAAGCCAGAGACATCTGCGTTTACAATTTTCAGTCATTTATTCAATATCAGACTTGATAGCTGGACTCTTAGAACGATTCAAAACAAAAACTCCGCGTTTTCAATAATTTCGAGCGGTCTAAATTTCTTCAACAAAAATAAACATTCGAAAATTCAAAGAGATTGTCTATGAAATTATTGTTCCATTTGAGCTGAACAAATTTTTGAATAAATACGCGAATTGGTGAGAAAAACATCTCCCTTTTTAAATTTCTTTAAAGTGTCTTTTTGAATAAAAAATATTTTTTCGTGTGCAAAAGTTCAAAATCTTGTTTATAACAATTTTGAGCTCAGAAAAATTCTTTCAAAGTCCCATTTTTATAGTTCTTCTCCGTTTTTCGATCGCCGGGACTTCTCTGCGCCCTCCTTGTCTTCCGGCAACCCTCTCATTTTAACGTTCTTTTACCATGTTTTTTTGGCTCCGGTGAGAGATCAGAGAGACGCAGAAACTCGAAAACTTTCAAGTGGTGAGCCGACTCAGGAAACTTGTTCTACCAGACTTCAGAAATGATTTAGTAGACTTCTTTCATTGAAAAAGAGCAACATACTCGGTAGCTGAATACTTTGTTCCAAAATCATTGATCGTCTAAAATTTGAACCTTTATCAATTGACATCCGAAGGCAAGGAAAGTAACAAAGTGATAATGAAAACAAATAAATTTACACCAAACTGAAAGATCAAAACCGAACATCGATGACATCAGTCTCAAAAGGATCGAAAGCTTTGTTATCCAAGGGCATTACTTCGGTGTTGTGAAGTTCTTCGAAGTCGTCTGGCGCGACATCATTTTCATCAGTCGTGTAGTAGTTGTATTCATAGTAGAAAATTGATAGAAGAGCGAAAATTATGATAACAACTGCCATGGCGCCTTCAATTTTTTTTTTTGAAACCTTAAGGTTTCTCTCTATTTACCTGCGTAAACGAAAAATTCCGTTGCCATATTTGAGAAGAGATTGAGGATGGTGATGATGACAATGATGGTGTCTCCGAACGCCGTCGTCAACAGCCACAACGCTTGCACCAACGCCTTCATCGATGGAGCCGACTGAAGAAAGATCATCAGAAAAAGGTTCTTTGAAAAGTTTTGGGGTTTGCTTATTTTATTAGACTTTGATGTTTCCTTTCCGTTTTTCAAACTGATACTTCCAGGATCTCTCTTTCTCTCTCTGATTTATCGAAAAAAAATTCTTATCGATCAAGCAAATTATCCTTTCGTTTTGAAAAAAAGCTTTTTCGAAAAAAGAAATCCTTACTTGAGAGTAGGCAAACTCGTATCCGGTGATAGAGAAAAGAATTTCAGCCGCTGTGATAACAACGATTTGGGGGACCTGCCAGAGAATGTTGACCGAATTCGACTGTACCACTTGGAGCACGTGCAAATTCAAACTTTGGGTGCTTGCCTAAACCGTCTTATAAATAATTGGAAATTAAAAAAAAATCACTTTGGATCCTGTCAGAGCGAAGACGTAGACTCCTCCTTGGCTGTAAATTTGGATTTTCTTTCCGGTTGTGGCCACTTTTACGTCGGATTTGGATTCGGTTTTGTGGTCCACGTCTTTCGGTCGGTCCAGAAGATAGAAGAGTTCCCATCTGCAAGAGAAGAAGTTTTTTGCTCTGGATGGTAAAATTTTATGTTTTGATATTTACTACATATATGGACCAACTAACCCACCTACTAGCTATTAAATGCCCTCAAATGAATAATAAATTTCTGAATAAGAAAATATTCACGCTGATTCCGAATTTATGCTCAAATTTCTCATAAGGTGTGTGCAAAAAGTTAAAGTTGAAGGATATTTTAAAAGAGATTCATCAAATACTTTTTTTCAATGATTGTTTCCAGAAATCCCCTCAAATTTCTCTTCAGCAAATTGTTAGCTTAAATTCAGAATCAATCGAAAGATAACCAGGTTATCCATCAAAAAAATCACTCTGTAAGAATTTCCAAAAAATTTTATAAAAACTCACTTTCCAGGCTTTACAGACTTGAATTTGTAGACAGGAGCGATGCCGTTGGCGCCGTTGGTGGAGGTGATAGTGGCGTTGAAGTCGCGGTCATCGGTGTGGTCGTTGTAGTCGGTCTCCCAATAGTAGAAGTCGGCAGGACTGCGGGGATTGCAAGGATGGGCCGGATCGTAATCGCTAGCGTCAGTCCGACACATGGCGAAGTTGAACGCGTAGAGCTCTTGCGTTGCCGAAACGATGCTGAAAAAATTTTTTCGTTGTGAACTACATTCGTCATGGAATTTAACAGTTTCCGGGTAGACAAAGTGGAAATTTGACGAACGAAAGGTCCAAAAAAATATAGGAAGCTTATAGAAATCTACAGTTTAAGAAATTTCAGGAAAAACTTTCGATTCTCGGAAAGGTCGCAAAAGTAGCGTTGACTGTACTGGAGATTTAATAAAAATCATTTTTCAACAGAAGAAAGTCTATCACTTTGACTTGAATTCAGAAACTGAAATTTCATGCGACTTCAGAGACCTCGATGAGAATTCAACCGGAATTTTCATAAAATTCATGTTTCTGGAAACACACCTCATCGAGAATTCTCCCGTTCCTTCGGTTGGCTTGTCAGGCTTCGTGATAGCCGAGTACCATCCTCTGTTATTAACAGCGACATAGAGAATCTTCTTTTCTGTGACTGGGACATTGATGGTTGTAGGCAAAACCTAAACGCTGCAGTTATCTTAGAAGTAACAAAAAATCTTTATACCGGACAGTTGCCGCTGTATTTCAATGTGTACTTCTGCGTCCATGTGGAACCGCTTCCTCTGGTGGCAAAAGGCTTGTAGGCGCCGCTCTTGTCATTTTTATCTTCGTACATTGTCTGAGAGCCCTTTTTTCAACAAATTCTTTTTTTCTTTTCTCACCGCGTTAGAGCTGAGCATGATTGAACGTGAGCCGTCTGTCACAGTGAAAGAGCACGAAGCCCCGTCAATTTGATTCCAGAAACTGACAAAAGCTTCTCCCTTAGCAGGAATAGTGGGGAGTGTTTGCTAAATTTTATTTTATCAACATGCTTTGTTTTTTCTCAATCTTACATTGACGCTCAATTGCACGAAGCCGGTGATCAAGAAAGATAAAGAAGCCAAAAGTCCACCAGCAACCATTTTGCGGAGAGGCCTACAGCAAGATTTTTTTATATTTTCCATATTTTTTTAAGAACTTTGTTTGAAAGAAAATTTTTCACGGATCAATTTTAAGTTTTGGAAGCTTGATTCGATAAAGCTGCATCAATACAACGCAATAAAACTGTTTTTCGTCAGGAATTCGTATCTTGTTTTTGAAACATCGAATTTTGAAGGTCGTAAATAATGGTTTGAATTTTTTCTACTACTGAGAAAATTGAGCTTGAAACTGTTTCAGAAGCATGTGATGTAATTTGAAATTAATCAATAAGAAGAACCTTTTTATAACTTGAGGGTCTAATTTGGTCAATACCATATTTCCGACTCTCCTTGCTTTTTTCATGAAGGAAAGTGCAATGTGGCATCAAAATAGAATAAGATTAGACATGATACGATAGATAGACAATTCTAATCTCTTGAATCTTCTTAAAGTTTTAGGAATGAAAACTCGGTTATCACTCACGTAAGGACGATGCATTTACTGGCCAGTGGGTAGATGATGACTTGGAAAAGCGGAATGAAGACCAGAATCAAAACGGCGTTGAGGGTTTGCATCTGATCGGGAAGGATGAGCAAGCTGTCGGTGAGACGACAGTCCATTTGAATACCTCCAAACGCAGTTTTTGTTAACTTTTCTAATTTTTTGGGCAATTGGAAAACTTTTTGTCACTTTCATACAATTCTGATTTTCACAAACTAGAAATCAACCAAATCGTTGAATTTGTATAAAAATGTGATTTCCATTGGTTTTTCGATGATAATTTCTGTTTAATTTCTTTGTGTAGGTTTTACTGAATTTTTAACTTTTCTTGTAGAGGAGACGTCAACTTCAACTAGGAGCGATTGCGCGCAAAGAAAACTCTTAAAATGTGAGAAGCGAACCGTTTTCGACAACTTTCGGCATCATACGTCGCATTGATGAACTTTTGCGCACCTCATAACTTCTCAGACCACGACGAGTTACCCATAATACATATGAAATCGGAACCTTGAAGAAGCCAGACGGATCCTTGTTGATCGTAGAGAGCCCAGAACATTGGCACGGGAAGGAACATGACAAGAACTCGCAGAAGAGACTTGACGTCAGAGATGAACCGCGCCTTCTGGCAAACCGACTTGTTCCGCTTTTCAGCTCGTAGCTCCATGCATCTGTCAATTATCATTTAGCCAAGGTTTTGATGACTTCAACTCACTTCGGATCTTCCTCGCAGACGTGAGTAGTGAGGTAATGATCCAACCAGTGGTCTTTCTTTTCCTTTGCACTCCATTTGTTAGAGACAGATCGCTGGAAATTTATTCCGTAGTGTTGGACGTTTCGAATGTAACTTACTCCCATTAGACGCGCTACTTCACCAAAAACGTTCTCCTTTGGTGGGTTTTTCTTGTACCAAAATGAGCCAGCCATAAAAACAGCTGAAAATTTCTAGTATCAGGCACAATCTTATTAATATTACCGGTAGCCAAAATCATCAGAACAGCGGGAACTCCGAAAGCGAGTGGATAGCAAGAATCCTGGCCCAAACATGGTTGCGCTGAACTCTTCAATTAACAAAGTACTCTTTTTTGTTAAAACATCGGAAAATCGGAGAGATAAAGGTTGAAATCATTGAACCGGCGTTAATCGAGAAGTAGAACATGGAAAAGAACAAAGAGAGCATTCTTTCCTGTAATAGAAACATTTCGGTATTTATCAACAACTTTGCAATCACTTGTCCCAACTCGAACTGATCTCCACCAAAAGCAGAGACACATGGCTTGATTCCACCGGTACCGAAGGCAATAATCAACAGCCCAGATAAGTCCATCCATCTGCAACTTTTCTTATATACAAGAAAGGTTTTGAGAATTACTGGAATTTTTTTCTTAAGTTTTTTTTACTGCACCGTTAAAAAGGACCTCATAAAAACGTCCAACTCGATTGAAAAACAGAATAAGCTTGAAGTTTCACATGAATCAGGTTACTCTGAAGTTCTGAACCAGTCTTTTCAAATTTTTTCAATCAAGCCATTTTTTAATGGATGGAAGGAAAACGACGTTCAAAGTTCCTTTATCTACGCATCATTCTGTTTTATCAAAACTATGAATGTCATCTCAGTCTACTATGAGGTAATTATCCGAGTCTCAGACACTATCGCCACTAGCTAAGCATGCCAACGCACTTGTAGTTTGTGCAGTATCATTATCAGCAATAAATTAAGTCTAATCTTTTGATTACAAATAGGTGGACAAGACGAAAAAAAGAAAGCGAAATCAACTGACGGATGCACGTTTGACTGGAAGTTTTTGACGGAAGCTAAAGCCAAAATGACTTGTCCAACTGCATAAAGTATCGAAACTGTGAAAATTGTCCTGAAACAAAAGATTTTTGCAATTTTTGTATTTTGAAAGACCAGAATTTGCCGATATAGCCATCAGCAATGATCGATCCGAGCAAAGGCGTTGTGTAGCACAAAACTGTGAATCCGTTGAAGAAAATCGTCGACTGGTTGTCGGTGAACTTCAGCACGTTCAACAAGTAAAAAGTCAACACAGCTGAAAACCGATCAGTTCAACTTTCTCGGACTGAGTAAAAGAACCATTCGGAAAAACGCCTTAACCTAGTTCGCATTTCGGTTAATAACTGTGGCTTGAAAGAAAGTTTCGGATCATAGGAACCGGTCAGATTATTTGAAGAAAAATTCTATGCTGAACTGTATTAGAAACCAACATGAAACTGAAAAATGAGAAAAAAAAATTTCAGTAAACAGTTTTGAACGTCTACTGTTTAAAGGCCTTTTATGTTCATTTTTGCCATCTTATTTCTAACTACGATTTCTTAATCCAACATCCACAAACATCAGGGCTATCTGAGTAACCCCTTAGAAAATTTTACCAGTCGAAATTTTCACCCGCTGAGGATTCATCAAGCTTATCTAGTTAACGTGTATTTCTTATCTACCGAAAAAGATCGTAAGAACGTAAGAACATGCACTCCAACGCAATCATTCCCGTCAGCATGAAAATCCAGTTGAAAGACGAAAAAAATGAATAATAATGTACTCGGTGTTATTGAGGAGGGTTTGGAGACTGCGTTGATGAAAAATTGAGCTTTTGAAGTTTACTTGTTTTAAGAAAAAAAGGAAAAAAATAATGAAGCGGTTAGAAAAACTTCTTCAAAAGATTAAAATTTTTCATTGCTGATTGGAAAGTATAGGCTTCAGGATGGTTAAAAACGTTAAAAACGTTCGAAACAAAAATACAAAGGTAATTAAATATAAATCGGCTAAATGAATTTTCAGTTTCTTTCGTGCTTGAAAATCAATCTTAAATCCACAGAACTATGAACGGAAAATCAGAAACTTGAGTCTCTTTTTTTTTGAACTTTCTAAAATGTAAATCGAAGCATTTCAAACCACGAAAAGTTAAATTTTTTCTTTCAAGATATCTCAGCGCGACTGAAAAGAGAAAAGTTTTTTTATTTTTGCAAAACTTTATGATTTTGAACATTTTTTTCGCTAAGATTTGCAAAAAATCATTATCAATTAGGAGTCAAGGGACCTCGAATAAATTTTTTGCGAAATCACATATCACATCAATTTCTCACGCCACCCTCAAATATATCTTTCTCGTCAGATATTTGAAGATATGCAGACCATTTATAAAGTACTTATGGTGAACATTCTTTTCTGAAGCAAAAGTCGAAAAATCTTCAACTAACTTCTCATTCCGTAGTATGAAAAACGCTCGCAGAACTCATTTGACACGATGCAAAGAGTGGTCTTCGGCCAGTGTCGGATCATTTCGGGCCAGGTCGTGTAGACTTTCTTCTGCGGTAGCTGCACGGCATCTTCCAAAGGGTTGCCCCCTGGAATCAAAAAACTTAATATAGTGACTTCTAAATGGAGTAATGCCAGTTAAAATACAGGTGTGAACTTTTTCAACATGAGAATTTCTTGCTGAGCTTTAATGAGCGGTTAACTTATCAGAGAAACTTGAAATCATGAATTATCGTTTTTTTTTCCGGAAACCTGTCGTCTCGAGAACAGAAGAGAGTTGAATCCTACTTCTTTCGATCACGTACAAGTCTAACCGAAAGCTTGAAATATCTCACATTCTCGAGAAAAATTATTAAAAAAGAAGAAATAATTATTTTGTCTTGATCAGCTTTCTCGTCGAAGCCTTAGCAACCTATTGGACTGACTTTTTTGTTTTGAAACTTGAAGTTCCGTTAACTTATTACACAGTTTTTTTTTTTGCCAGTTTCTGAGCAAAGTCTGAAGGAATTTTCTCATATGAAAAGAACCGAAAAAAAATTCAGTTCTAGCTTGTAACAAAAGGCTATCATGATGTTACTAGACTGACTACTCGATATGATCAGAAGCTTGAATATCTGAGAAAATCAAACCCTTGGAAGGTATGCTGGACCGTTTGCTGTCGGCCATCGTGCGGTGGAAGCAGCGACGACTGGCAGGAAAATTGAAAATTGCCTGATAAAGGCGCTTTTTCTTTATCACTTGATCATTTTTGCTTGGGACACGCCCCCGAGGAGCATCAGAAAGAACTCTTTGGCCCAGTACTTTCTTCTATGTGGCGTGGCGATTCCTCATCATTCAACTTCCAATCCGAGACCTTATCAAGTCTCTCGTTTTCGCCAACAATTCTTAATCGGATGAAGAAAAAGGAATCTGATGAAAAAAATTAAAACATTTTCAATGATTGGAAGTGATGAAAATAAATTATTCAACGCAGCGATTTTTTTAGAGAATCAAGAGGTTGAATCGTTGTCCCATGAACCCTCATTTAATACATGAAAGAAATTTTCAGTCGTTAAAAAATATGAAAAATATCCAATTTTTAGAAAACCACAAAAAATCCTTCTGTCATTGTTAAATTTTTTACCCAACGAAAACAGTCCACGTGGAAATGAACCGATTTCATGAAAAAATTCAAGTTTCCTTCAAATCCAATCGAACTTGGCAAAAGCTTTCTCTTTTGATTTTTGAAAGCCTTTTTTGCGGTGACCATTTGCTACCAAATTCTAACGGTCGCGCGTGCACATTTTCTGTATCAAAAACAAAGAAATCGTTCGCTGGTCGAGGCCCGAAAAAGTTTGAAAAAGTTTCAAGATTTCAATAATTGCATTCCTTTCACTAATTTTCTCCCATGGAAATTTAGCTATAGTCACACTCCAATTATCTACATTTTGGGATGAAGGAAGTGATATAAAAAACCCCAGCAAAATAGCCTTCTAAAGAAAAGTTTGAATGTCTTCAGAGCACCTTTGTTTCTGCAAAAGTGAAAACAATCCCGGAATGCTTTTTTTTAGCATCTTCGAGGTATTTCAATAATTCAATATTAACCTTCACTTCCAGTCAGATAAATAAATCAGATTTCATTGCGAATGACGAAAATGACCCGTCTTTATCTCTCCCCTCATTTTTGTTTGACCTGATGTAAAATCAGCAATTTTCACCAACAAGCTGTATCTGACTTCTCTAACGCTTAAAGTCAACAAAAAAATCGTGTCATCATTTCACGCGACATGGAGATAAAAAAACATTTTTCTCTTATATCAAAGTGAGCTCAAACTGTTGCAAACTTTGCTCATTCACAGACAACGCCCTGATCATGTGGCTGCATCCTTCCAAAAAAATTATAGAAAAAAACTTCATTAAAGTGATGAAAACAATAAAAAAATTTGAAATGCAACAAAGATGTAGGAAGAAATGACACAAAAGCAAATTGTGCACGGAAACGACGCACCTTCTATGGAATCTCTTATTTACCCTAAAAGTTTCCTGAAAAGAAAAAATAACATTCTGTAGTATGGCTTTTTGCAGCGAAGCGAATAAATCGTTTGTAACCCTTAAAATTTGAATCCGATGGGAGAAGATATGGCGGATAGTTTTTTTAGGTTCAGAGGCACATCTGGACCAGCAACTAAAGCGTTCATCATGACTTATCAAAATGACATAAGGAAATATTCGAAGAATTTTTCGAAAATAGGCGATTTTATCACGTGAGTAATTCAACTATGGCTCAAAAAAATGATAAAAATTTTTTTATCAAATATTTTTTTACAAATCTTTCTCTACACTGGCAAATGCGCAAGCTTTTTGATTTGCAGAAGATTATCTTGAAAAATTGCTTTCAACTTTGAGCCACAATCAATCACCTCCATAATAAAAACCTCTGATTTCAGCGTTCATATAGCTCTTTTTGAGATGAATTTAATTTGAATGAGCACTCAGAAAATTTTCAGAAAATTCCAAATTGTCAAGGAAGATGATTTTCTGCAATTTTGTCAGAACTGTGTAGAGAAAAAAATTTTTTGACTGCTTTAGGGTATCCAAAAAAGTCCGTGAAGCTCCCAAGCTGTCTTTTTTGTTTGACATTTGAAAATATTTTTTCCGTTCTAAATGACGTTCAAATGAGAATCTGCATCCGGATAATCGTTCTCAGATTCCGATTCTTCATAGAAGAGCATCAACTCGTACTCGGTCATCTCATGAGATTCCGTGCGACTCAATCGTCGGTGTGCACTGAAGAGTTTCATTTTTTCCTTCTTGAGAACAATGTAGGTTCTTATCTAACCTCATGTAATCAGCATAAAATTTTCGATAAGAAGAGGTTGGCCAGAATTGATGAACGAGGCAAGCGAGGGCTGAGAAGTTGGCAAGCGAGGTGAGAGCTGTAAAACTCGAGTTTTCCTGGAGACTATGCTGAGAAATGTGATTACCCAAAATGAGGGAGAATCTCCACTGTTGCGACACAAGGGAAACGACAATTCCAATCATTGGCAGAGAAATGAACCAAACAAGAAATCCTGCTCCGAAATTGGCGAGAAAAACTGCCTTTTCTTCGTTCTGCTCTCTGTAAACATTTTTCGAGTTACTCATCACCTCATAACTTTTTTTCTGTTCTTTGGTCAATGATCAAAGGTCAATTGGTAATATCAGCTGATAAGTGAAACGGAAAAATCAAGTAAGACTCGAGATATTTTTCTGTATTCTGTAGCTCTACCCGGGTACAAAACACTAAGAGGATTAAAAGCTTTTATGGAAAAATAAAAAAACCTTAACTCCACTCAAAGGTAAGTTGGTAGACGTCCACAAAATGTTTTTTTTTATTCATATAAACTGATAGAAAAAAATTCAAAGTCGCCTTTGGAAAAAAATTCGTTAAAAAAATAGTTAAATTAGTTGAAACCAAAGATAATTTTTTCAAGGTAAGTTTTTTTACATATTTATAATATAAAAATCTGTGGTTGGAATTGAGAATCATGATTTAATTTTCCTCTAAAACGAAAACATGAAAACCTGTCTATCAAACGTCTAATTTCGATTAAAAACCACATGGCGTAGAAAATTCGAATGGCGATCATTCCATGGCCGGGCCAAGCTGAGAAAACGTCGACATCGTGCAGCGTATCATACACGAAAATCTGACAAAAAAGGATTAGCGATTTGAAAAAACTAGTAAACTTTTATACATCAAAACTCTGTTCCTTGCGGTCGGATGAATAATGGATCTATTTTTTTTTGTACTCAACAGTTATCGTCTTCCCCATCATACACCCAATTAAATGTTGTTCTGTTCTCTGTTGAGACCTCCTAGTTAATTGAACATAATTATTAATTAAACTCATTTCATCAATGGGTGGCTGGATACTAAGTGACACGGAAAAACTCACAAAATTACAGCAGAAAAAGAAGAGATCGAGTAAGGCCAAAAATCCCCAAAGAGCTAGACAGTTAGTATTGAGAGCTTCCGTAGATTGAGTGATGTCCCAGCCTCGAGCCAGCATCAAGAGCAACAGGCACATCATTTCAACGCATCCAACTCTGAGATTTCAGAAAATTATCAATCAATCATTTGTTTTCAATGCTAATCGGCTGGTATTTTTCCTAATTCTGCTCAAATTCAATAACTTTTTCTTAGCTCAAAACTTGACTTTTTGAAAACCTGAACTTTGCGCCATTGCAACGATTATACTGTATTTCACGTGATTCGGAAGAGGTAAGAAAAACCTCTCAGCAAAGTTTTAAAGTTGCCTTTGACACAGTTCAAAAATATTACTAATTTTCCCAATTTTTTTTAATACTGTTGAAATAACTGAAAGCAGAAGATCTTTGCCTCTTTTTTTTTACTGACAGAATTTTATGAACTCCATTCACCGCTGGTTGGAATCAAAACCGCATAATTGACCTATACTTTACGCAAAAACTATACTATTTTTCTTGAACTTATAAAATTACTCACCGTATAATTTCTCCAGCCACTCGGGCAAGAAAGACGCCTTGTCCGTCGTATGCGTAAACGAGAACATTGATGCATTGCAAAGCCGATCCAACCATTTTTGCAGTTACAATATAAGAAAGTAATCTAATTTTTTTCTTTTTGGAATGTTATTTCGTGGGAAAACTCACCTTGTGCGTGGAGGCAAAGCGTGATGTCTAGTTTTAGCTCTCACCCTGGATAGGAGCATAGCCAGGAAAGCGTACATGATCACGGTTATGAGAAGTATTTGGACAGTGTTCTGAAATGAAATCCGATCAGAGGTTGACTATTTAATCGCGTTTTAGTGACTTTTTTCAATTGGAACACATCTGACTGAAAGTTGTGCGTACATTGATTAACACTGATTGCGAAGCATCAAAAGAAATATTATTGAAATTGAAGACTGAGGCGGAAACCAAATTATAAGAAACTTTGAAATAAAGATGGGTCGAAAATAAAACTTCATCTAATACTGAAATATGAATAAATCTAACCTGTTCATCGAAAGAGAAGTTGAAAGTGAAGAAACTGGCTTCTTTGGAGTTAGGACGTCCGTTTGTGAGCCACAAGTCGTACTCGATCGTTAAATCAGGGTTGGAGCTTTCCCAAGCGCAGTTCTCGTTTAATTTACAGGCCAGCAAAATAACATACCTAAAAAATTTGCGGTGACACAAAAAAATCTCCTTAGCTTTTGCGCTAAGTTCCAGAAAAAAAAATGAAAAGGAAAAAAAATCGTAAAAGGATTTATTCGTGAATTTTCACAAACTCACAAAATGAAAAAAAACCAGGTAATGAGTCTTTCCGCACATTTTCAATTTTATCATCCGAAAGCACTAAAACTCACCAATACTCAGGGCTATACGATTCCTGAACTTGTAACGTCATCTGATAGCCAGGAATCACGTTTGAAGCGTTGTCTTCGTCCTGAAAACTGCGAAAGTTTGAATATTCCAAAGAAAAATCACCTTGCACAAATGACCTTGAGGACATGGGACCCAACGGAAGACATCACTTGTTCCGTTCGAAAAACATTTCGACTCAAATCCTTCCTTGGAAATGTTCTGAAAAAAGTTTCATTGAATCCAAAAAAAGGATTGAGAACTTTCAACATAGAGCCGCAAGACATTCCATATTCTGAATCTGATCGGAAATATGCAATGCTTTTTTTAGACGCCAGAACCAGAAGAACAGGACCTTAAAAAGATGTTTTCAAAAAGAAGAAAAAAAATCAGAATACTTGAATAATTGTATGGGGCTTGAGTCGTGACATGTCCGTACAGGAAACCGCGAGTATTTTTTTCGTCTCCAATTTTGGTTTGTTGAAATCCAAACTTTGTTACGATCAGTGCTCTCTCTTCCCTTGGATTCCATTTTCCTGAAATTCTATTCCAATTTTTTCAATCCAGAGATCTTCCGCTTAAAGATGTTTTGAATCACAAAAAAATATTTTGCATCTTTCATTTTTTTTTTTTGGCCAATTTACGACGATCCAAAAAAGAAACTCATATTTTGACTAATTTTTTGGGATTTTAACTGGACACCAAGAGCCCTCTCTTATCCAACAAAAAAACCTATTTGAAAAAGCAAAAACGTATTTTTTTGAAACAGACCTTGAATATGGGCGGAATTTGAAAAAAACCAGCAGCTTGTAAAATTACCACCAGAACCAGCCATCTTTGCGTCATGTTTTGCTCATTCTGAAACCATGAAATTAAAACAAAAAGATAACTTTCAATGTAACTTGGTAAAACAAAATATTTTGGGCGTTTTGATATAAATTAACAAAGTAAATGTTTACGAAAAGAAAAAACAAAGAAATAGTCCGGTGGAGCGCACATGTGTCGCTTCCACATGGCAGTGTGGGAAACGTGTCTTCTTCGGTTTGCTTGATCGACAGCTGCACCCCACAATTATAATAAGTTATCGAAACGCAGAAACACGCAAAAAAGCTCATAGTTTTTTGAAAAATCGTTTCAAATTCTAATTACATTTGGAAAACCGTATGAAAAGAAACTTATAAAAAGTGATTGGGTTCCTTTTTGAAATTGAAATTTTCCAAATCTTCTTCCAAATTTCGAATTGTTCTTCCAAAAGAGGCGATCTCATTTCGCGCTCTGGGGTTTCCTAAAATTGGCCGAATTACATATTTTTTTACTTAAAGATTCAAGCGGTTTCTTATTTTTAAGACCGGGCGTCTCAAATCGTATGAATGAAACCTCAAATTTTTGCAGAAGGTTTTTGAATTAAAAAACGTTCACTTAGAGAAAAAAATGAAACTCTATCTTACCGAATTTTTTTCAGGATTTAAGAGAGAAGAGTGGAATGATTTTTGCTTTCTGTGACCATTTCTGTAGGCTCAAATTATCAAAATTGGGAAAATATTTTCTCAAAATTTTTTTCATTCAACTGGCTTGAAAAATCTCCAGAGGACTGATATGACCACAATTTTAACTTGTGTTGACGTTTATAAATTTTAACTTGTGTTGGCAAGTTTATAAAAAAAGAATATGTTCTTTTTCTTGCTATTTGTGCTTTGTAAGTTATGATAAAAAAATAACCACATTTTTGTAGTATTTAAAACACAAAAATTGGAATGCAATGTTTTCCACGATTTCTCAGAGAAAAAAAGCTTCCGTGTTCTGAAAAACCATTTTATAATTCAGAAAGAAAACACAAAAACTCGTAACACACACCTAATGAGAGTCAATTTTAGGAAAAACTTCTCAACCGTCGTTGAACTATGAATTTTCATGAAACTGACCCTAAAAACTTGATTTCAGTAGCTAAAAACCGTAAGATCGATATGAATTGAGGCGCGATAAAATAATGAAGTGATTCATCATATATTAGAAAAGAAAGATTCCTGAGAGTCCACACGAGAATACTACAACAATCAAGGAAGAACTCCAGCTGAACTAAAAATGAAAAAGATACACGGGGCAGGTGAGAACGGGAAAGTCATGAAGAGGAAACAAATTTCTAGGGAGAAGAATATTTTGATGATGACACTTTGAAAATAAAACACAGGTAAGGGAAGTTGTCAGACGTTAGATCCTTTGGAATAAAGGCGAGTTTCCACGAAGGATCGTTCAGTTTCGACGCGGGAGACCCTTCCACAACGCATTGCCGCCTGCGACAAAAACGCTTTCCGCTTCGCTTTGTCCGTTTGCATCAAGGCCTGGAAATATAAACTATTCAGAGTTTGCCAGAATAAACTATATTTTTTCTCACAAAAAGGTTTTTTTTTTGGATTATGGATATTTTTCATACTTGAGAAAAATCCTCAGAATCTCAACCTACATATCTTCTTTTTCAAACAGTTCATTCCCCTACGTTTTAATTAGATTTTCTGAATTACAATTACTTTTTTCAAAAGTGCGTTTTGAGGGTTGAAACTTTGATAAATGTTATCTAACTGATTATTCACCTTCAGATACATGCATGTCATGTGCCGGAACTGTTCATTGTAGAGAAGAAAAACGAAAAACGGAATCGTCGCGTTGACGAGCGAAAGCAAATTGTTGCCGTGATTCAGGACGCACAGCATCAAGCTGTAGTCTTCTCCCTGAAATGGTTATTCCGTTGAATTCGATCTCCGTGAATGAAGCTCGAAAGAAAAACAGGAAGAGGCTTTTTCAGTTCGTTATTTGGAAGCAATAAATCTCTGCTCTTTCAGGAAAGTAAATAGCCGAGGCTGCATATTTGCATTGCGGATAAATTTAGGCAAACTTTCGTTTAGCCCAAGGGGTTATGAAGATTTCATCATAACTTGAAATGAAAAGCAGCAAACAAAAACTTTCTAAAAGTTTTCGGTTTCTCTTAGGGTTTGATAAGCAATAGGTGATCTTGGGCGGATCCTTAAAACTTCTGGGATGTTCTCGCAATTTTTTAAAAATGACACTTTTCCGACAACGAAAAATCATTAGTTTTTGAAAACAAGGATGTTGTGCAGAACGAGATTCTTAGGTACTTCATTTGGGACACCCGAGTAGATTTTCAGGAATTTTTAAGGTGTTAGGAAAATCTCAATTCAAGTGCTGAGAGTATTTGAAGAATGAAAGAAAAGCTGAATGTGTGTTGAAAATACTAAAAACATGAATTTAGATCCTGGTGAGAGCACAAACTTGATAATTTACTTTCAAATTGAGGAGTTCTGACCTGAACTGCGCTGGCCGCGTGGGTCAAAGTTGCTGGACCCTCGAGAAGAAGATGGGAAAGAGTCGTGGCAACGGTCATCCGGATCACACATTTCCTTCTTTGCGAAAAAGCTTCCCCCAGTTCCTGAAAACAAAAACTGCTTTCAATTATCTCGCCACCTCATAACTTTTTCATTTTTGTTCATTGGTTTATTGTCACAAACAAATCGGGTTTTTTCTCATGGTTGAAGCCACCACTCAGTGCAAGGGATTAGTTATAGCTAATGCGATCATAATTATTTTGTTTTTTGTCACAACATGTTTATCTCGGTGTATTATTATGAAAACAAAGTGAGGGTGTTCATTCATATGGAAGAAAAAGTCTTAATCTTCTACGTTTATCTCTCATAATTCCTCCTTTTGATTGATTTGTCGAAATAAAGATCACAGGAAGAAATACAAAATAAAGAAATTAATTTGAGCCTGAGTAAAATTTTTTTTTTCGTTTCTAGCCGCTTTGAAAGGTTTGAAATTTTTATTTTTTCTGAGATTTAAAAAAAGAGGTTTTCTGAAAGTTCTTGAGCGTGTAATATTTTTGATTTAAATTTCACTACATAAAATATGAAGTACATAGAACTATTTGCTTCTGACGATTGTGGCAAAAAACCATCACAATAAGCGTTAAATTAAATGATTTCTGGAGATCTGTCTCCTCAAAATCCCTAAGTGTGTACTTTTGCATTTCCCTAGATATAACTCTATTTTTGTTTTTCCACGGATGTGCTTATATGAATAGCTATTCCGCACCGAACCAAAATAAGCAATTCAGTACTCTCTTCCTACTCATCCATAAAGCGAACCGAAGGGCAAGCAAAAAGTGCTAATCGACTTCTTCTCGTTTTCAGAAAATGCTATTCTGAAGCAACCTCTAATTTTAGAAGAAAATATGCAGATGCCGAAGATCATTAGCAACCACATGGCTCTCGATAATTGCCTAGTTCAAAAGTCATGAATTCTTCTCCGAAGCTCGAAGACTTGAGAAGAAGCGTTTCGTGGGAACAATTAGGAAAGCATTGGTTAGGTGAAACTTTCGGTTTCCAGATGTAGTCAAAGAATAGAAAAACTAACAAACAAAAGATATCATTTGATTTGAGAGGCCTCCTTTTTTTTTGAAGTTTATCTTTTTCTATAAAGTGGCTCATATATTCCCGTTAGGCGCAGATATTTTTTTCCCATTTTTTTTTCTTTTATAGTGGCACCAAGGTCAATTGATTTGAAGGCGAGAAGGCTCAAATTCTTAAAATTTTCACGTCAAACGTTGATTATATTTGAAGATATATCTGCTCTTTTTTCATGGAATATTGTGAGACCTAAAAGTCGGAAAATACCTTGAAGGTGAACTGCTTGATGATGAGGATTGTGCAGACCAGCATCGCCACCGTTGGAATGACGATGGAAACGGCCATTGTGATTGTGGCGTAAAACCTTCTCCACATCTCATAGTCAGGGTTGTTCCTCACGTGGAAGACAGTTTGGACAAACCAGCAAGTCGAGTTTGGGTCGTGCCTCTGGAAAAAGTATATGGCTAAAAACTTTTTAAAAAGTTGAACAGCCTTTTTAAATATCAACAACTAAGTCGAATAAAAAAAGAGAAATAATTTTAAGCTTCGATAAAAAGCGCTCTGAAGTACTTTCAAGTAATCTTTTTATCCCATTCGTAAATCAAGTACATTTGCAATTTATTTAGGAAGCATAGATTTTGATAATTGAGATTTCCCCGAAAAAAGTTATATTTTCGTATTTTTCTCTTTCTTCACTATTGCAAAAGTTGCCGGCTCTGAGACGAGGAGAGACTCTCGAAAGGCGAACTCAATTTTTGAAGAATGGAGGATTAAAAAAACGTGGCTTTGAAGACTCAGGCAAGCAATAACAATTACCGTCGCAAGATTAAAGTCGGTCTAAATGGAAATTATTCTCTTTTCGGTTTTCAAGTCCTCAAATTTCAAGACTTCGAAAACTGACGTGTGCAAAAGGCCGTATTTGAACAACTTCTTGGACATCAGTGACAAGAACTATTGTGAAGTGAAGGAGCGTGGAAATCAGCAGAGAAATGGCCAAAAATATCCAAGTCAACCTGAAAGTTTCTTTTTTGAATCTTTTCTTTCGACAGAAAAAACCTTTTGGTACAATACTGTCTAAAGACGAAAGGCATCAGAATACACATTACCGTCTCCATCGTCACCATCAAAGTCAGCCTGCAACAATTTTTTTCGTTTCTGTATCTGGGTTATTTATCTTTGGATACAAACAAATAAAACCTACCAAGTGGACATCGTTCCGCTAATGTTTGAAATCATCATCATGTAGGGTCTTGTTTTCCAAAAAAGAGTTTCAAGCCAGGAGATGGCTTGAGGACTTGAAGCGTGCAAAACCTGGAACTCCCCGATTTTTATTGTTAACAGCTAACGTTTTCCTCACCTCAAAAACTCTGGAAAAAACAAAAATCATATTGAAAATTGCTTTTGCCCGCAAAAAGTGCACTGAGCTACTTCCATCAAAATATGCTAGGCTGTAGATGAGCAGATTCAGCACGTTTCCCATCAAACACAAGAACATAAGAGGTGGCACCACGTATTGTAGGTACACTAAAATCGGTTTTGTTCTGAGCTAATTGCAGTTTTTTCAAACTTATTTCGACCACGTTGCAAACTGCCGAGAAATTCATAATGTGCCGGAAGTACGGCGCATCTGAAAACGTAATTAATCGTATTTGGGGCAAATTCAGATCATCAATTCAACCCATAGCAGTGCTTCCCTCCAATTCCGCCGTCACCAAGCCAAAAATTCAGATGTTTGTTGATTTAGTGCGAGCCAAAATGAGCTATTCTGTTTGGCATAGGCGGCCGATTACCTTCTTTTCTGGGATGCCCCTATTTCATTAATCGCGCTCTTTGTTCATCCAACACGCCATTGATCACCCAAAAAATCCTCTACTAGTAAGGGCCTAATTAATTTTTGAACTACTTGAAACCTTTTTTTCAAAGTTTGCTTGAAAAGTTAGGTGCAATCTTCTAGAAACTTGAAATATTCGAAGAAAGGATCCAAGAAATTTTGTCAAGGTTAGAATTAAACGCTATCACAAAGGCTACCTTGACATTTTCGTATCACGTGTTTTCAAAGTTCTTTCTTAGCAAGCACAGTAATTGCACTCTAAAAACAGCCACCTCGATAAAATAACAAAAAAAAAATGCGGACATTCACCGAAGCATACAAAACGGATTGTATGAAAGAAAAAAAAAATCAAACGAAAACCATCATTTTTTTAATGTTCCTTTTCATGAGACAATGGTTAAAAATCAGCGGATACCTGTATCGGAAGAACATTGCTCGATATGACGTGACTCGAAGACGTCGATTGACGCAATTGCCCTGCAATTGCATGAATATAAGATGAGTTCCACTGACTCTTGTGTTGTCGCAAAATTCTATTTCCCACTCTTCAATTCCCTGTTCGTTCTGCGGCAACTTGCCGGCGAGCATGTGCCTGCTGTGGGACCTTAAGAGCCACGTGCCAGGGACGTCATACTCCAGAAAACTGCGAGAACGTCGGTCGGCAACTAGCTTTCATGCATTAAACATATTGTTTTGTTCAACTCTCTGCCAGAGGTCGCTAGAGTGTTCTTTGGTCAAAAACGGTATTTATAGTCCATTTTTGAACTTCCCGGAGCTTGCGCTATTAATATAAAGGTTAGCTATTCTTCGCTTTTTGCATTTTCTCAAGCAAAAGTTTCCAAGGCATTTGGCTCAAATGACACAGCTTCCGATTACGTCGCCAGATTATTATAAGCTCTTTGAACGAAGCCAAGTTTTATCTTTAGCTGCAAAGCTTACTGTATGCAATTGACAGGGTCGAGCTTCTTGCCGAACTGTTCTGCACAAGATCGCACGAGCTCCTGCGGATCAAGGTCGAGCATCTGAACGACAAAGTGAAAAATTTGAAGAAAATTCCGGCAACGAGGAACGGCACGAAAACAATTTGAAGTTAAAAGAATCGAAAATGGCTGCGCGAGAAGTTGTTAGAAGGCTAAGAAGGAAATAATTGTTGTAAAAAATTCAGCAAATGTGCAAGGTCTTGCCTTGTTGAACTTTGCTTCTCTCGCTTAGGGCTATCATCACATTTGACCCGCTTATAATATTCATTCAATAAGCTTTTTGAAGAAAATCACGTTGAAGCTGTATTCAAAAAAAGTAGTAATGTACTATTTCTTTCTTTTTATTCGAAGTTATACTGCGTCGAATTTTAAAATTCATAGCAGTTTTTTGAGTTGAAGAGGTAGGGAATTTCAACTTCTCAAGCGGAAAGACAATTGTTTCCTGCAGAGTTTTGCCACAACAACAATGTCGTCATCGAGGCGAACTGTTTTGGAACGAGCAAATGGAGTGAGGAGCGTTTAACGGGCTTGAGATATCCTGCAAGATACGGCAATCTCAGGAAGAAAATGGGACAAAATGGGCTTGCAGCCGAGCAGCCAAATCCGATTTCCAAGATATTCCTTCAGATACAGATACACATTGTGATCGGCATGGGAATTCTATTGCAGACTCAATTTTGAAAGAAAAAAAAATGCCTCACAAAATCTTCTGATTTTAGAAAGAAACATCAGCTCAACTTTATAAGTAACCAATCTAGAGAGTTCATTTTGATGTATAGTTAAAACTTTTTTTTATTCATTTTCTTAAAGTTTATCTAAGGTGTCATGAAAATTCTCTCCTCATTTTTGATTTAGGGAAAATAATTTGTGAAGCTGGTTATGGTTATGGTATTGGCTGCAGGTTAAGTTCTTTTCCTCGATGAAAGCTTCAAAAGTTCTAAACTTCCTTAACTGACGATGTTGGCTAATTGAATTCATATCAAAATATTTCTGCAGTTAATAAATATAAAAAAATTATTACATCAATGTTAAAAAAATCATTTCAAATAAGAACATGATAAATTTCAAGCGAGTTTCATCAGTAGCACAAGAGTAGCGGAATTTTTATGTGACGGCTTTATTCGATATAATAAAATAGTGTTAAAATTCAAAGCTGTAAGCACTGGGAGCTGGAAGAGTGCGAACTTCTTGCCATGAGCCTCAGGTGGGCGGACTGGTCGCACTCAGAGGCAGCGTATCCTTCGCCGCTCGCCGCAGAGGGGTGGAGCCATCAACCAAGACAGAATCGCCAAAATGAGCAATAATATGCCCTTTTCAATTTTTAGAATATGTTCACCCATTTCCAACCGCAATCATGAAGCAGGTGAAAAAAGTCAAATAAAAGAGAAAAGTCCAGGTAGGTATATTCAGATTATTATTTAGAAACATATGTCTCCATGATGTTGAGAATTATTTTTTGAGTTATATTGAATTAGTTCGCTACGGATTCGGCTGCCAGTGCTGAGAGAATTTAAAAGCGAACTTCAAACAGTAGACAGTAAAACTTTTGAAAATGAGTTCATTAGGTTAAGGATAAAACTCATTCAGAAAATCATTCTCGAAAAAATTTGCAACATAAAACTAGAAAAAAGCTTTAATAAACAAACAAGCAAAAAGCTGATTTTTTTCTCACAAAGAACAATGTGAAGACTTAGAACGCCGATAACAGCGTGAGAAAAATGCTTATGTGTGAGAAAAAAAAAGACTTGGCAACGAACTCTGAAAAGTTAATTTTCGGGAGATTTCCCACATCTCAAGCAAAAAAAAACTTGCTCTGATACTTCTTGGACGGAGATATGAATGAAATATTCGATGAAGAAAAAAAAAGGAATCGGTCGGCCTCTTGGGTGGCAAATGCCCTATTAATCACATAATATTCGATGATGTAAGCGGCTGATCACGTGTTAAGTGCCCCTAAATCTTTTGGATTCTCCAAGATGTGGTCAACTGGTAGAAGAGAACCAAATTTTGGTACCATTCCAGAAAAAAGTTTGGTTGAAAAAGGTTTTGTCGGGAGAAGCTAAAAATCGACTTCAATTAGGACTTCCGAAGAAACAAAACATGTGGCTGGGAGACCCTAAAACTGACAAAAAAAGAATTCGAACGCCGTTTGTTTGCAAAAAGATTTTCCTGAATCAATCTCCAAGAAGCTCAATTTTTCAAATAAGAATAGCTATTTGAAAAAATGGAACAGTATTTTCAAATGTCTTCAATTTGCAATGATTCAATCGGAACGATTCAATTTTATCGCATTCCGCGGGCAAGAAAAATTCAAAATAGCATTTTAAGAAAGACAGGCTGAAATTTCATCGTTTGAATTATAAATTTGTTTTAGTTTTTGCAAAAAAACAAAGTGAAGGCATGCATTTTTTTGACTTTTGAAGCTGCTTTCTCTCATTTAATGTCATTTTGCCGCTTCGTGTGGGTTCAATTCCTATTTTTCGAAAAAAAAAAATTCCATAACTGTGATGAAGGTTCGGAAAAAATCACTTCAGCTTTCAGCAAGCAAAAATGTTGCATGCTAAGATTGTTGACACAACTTGCAGCTCGAGCTCAGAAATGATCGTTTCATCCAACCAGGATATTGAATATGCCATAAAAAACCCGGTTTCTGAGCGTTCTCTAACCTTTTCTTATCTTCCCATCCAAAATATTTCAGTTCAAAAGCCACCAAACTCATGAATAAATCCAAACCTGAAAGCCGTCTAAGAAGCGGGCTCAAAAAAAAACGGAGAAACTTGTAAAGCATCGCAGTCTTTAAGATCTTCCAGTATCCTGGCGTACATTTTTATAAGGTATGAACTAAACTGATTGATAGCTGGTAATACTTTCGAAAACGTATTTGTAAATACTTTTGAAATTACAAAGCGTCTCATGAGAACAATATCACTTGTGAGGACACTTTGATCGTCATTCTTCAAGCATTTCCGTGAGTGGGATGCGATTGTCTGTCTCCTTTTTCCGCAAGCGGCTTGGAATAAAATAAAGACCGATCCCTTGTTTTCCTCATTCATACTAATTTATTCAATTACATTCGTCGTTCTCCTGCACAATTCCTTCAATAACAATGTTAGCCAATCTTCGTCAAAAAGTTTTTTATTTCCAGTTCAATTTTTTTTGTAAGTCGCTGGCAGCTTCATAATTTGTCTGACTGCGGCTTCGCGGAATTGAATTCATTTGAAAAGAAAGACATCTTGAAGAAGGAACAGAAATGTCACCAGAAGAAAGAGAGTCGCGCAATTAATTTGAATTCTTCTAATTTCGAGCCCCGGTCGTCTGCTTCCACCACGTGAGCTTCTTGGTAGGAGAGTTCAATTTGCCGTCACGGAAACTCAGAAAAAAAAGAAAATCCGAAAAAAACAGCTCCAATTAGGCAGATACTGCTGCACACTCAAAACGCAACTAGATGCATGTTCGAATAAGTGAGGTGCAATTAGGGAATGACAAATTGCTGGCTTAAACTTTTTTTTGCTTTTCTAATTGCGAGGTACGTCATGGGGAAATACTGTAGCTTTTTCTCACATGATGAAAGGTGCCTGAGACCTCCTGCAAAAGTTTTTTTGTCCAGAATAATTGAGGGAAATTATGACGGCCGTTGCAGTTTTCAATGAGTATCCGATTATAACTAGGCGTTCAAAAAGGAGCAATTCATTCTCGTTTTTTCCTACAATTGTAATGGTGGTCTTACTTCTAGTTTGATGTTCAAATTTATAGTTTGTTCATTGAAGACTCAAAACTAAGAATTTATAAATAAAAGCCTTAACAAAATCAGCAAGACTGAAAAAATGTGGGTTTGGGGTGTGTTTGGCGTTTTTATTGACTAAGATAGCAATAAATATATTACTATAAGATGTGGATGAAAATTTCGTTTCACGCGAATATGATTTCTTATTAGCAAATGAATAAATTAAAAAATTAAAAAATGCTAACTCGATAAAAAAAAATAAGATAAAACGAATTCCTATCCCATGAAATGCTTTTCCTGCGAAATCGAAAAATTGGGTGGTTTGATTAAACTACAAATGTCAACATGACGTCAGCTCTCCTTTATCTTATAATTTTTGCGTTTTGTCAGGCTAACTACGTGTAAATTGCAAAAAAACCAATTCACCACGGTTCTTGTAGTGCAAAAAGAATTTGGTGGGAGTCGTAGTTATATAGAGTGAATAACAGCTCACTTGATTTCGGCTTTGGTACCAATAGCAATAACAAAACCTTGAAGACTTTCAAGGTTTTGTTATTGCTATTGGTACCAAAGCACTCGGAATGTCCTTCTTTCCGTGCTGAGAAAAACAAATTAAAATAGCCGGAAGGTGCAAGACAATGGGGTTTCTTCCACAGATGTTAATTAGAATGGAGTTTTGGATGAGCTCCGAATAATTAGCTCATACAATTCTTGAAAAATATATTTGGTGGGGACCATGGAAAAAAATGACTTCAAATTCGCACGTTTCTTAGTTTTTTTTGAGCCCAAGTTTCATCGTAAATTTCCTTTTCAATACAGAATTCAAATACTGCTGCAAGTTACAAATTTTCCACGTCTAATCCAAAAAGAAAAGAGCAAAAATATCAAACCACAAGTGACACGAACCAGAGAGTTTTTCACTTTCTCAGAAGTCACATTACAGCTGTTCGAAAGTCCGCAGTTTCCGCTTCATTACAATACCAATTGTCACTCATCTGCACATTTCTTCGAGAGAACAAATATCAAGCTTTTTGAAACTGATCGTTCTCTGAGGAGCAATGAAAGCAAATTTTAGAATCTCGGCAAGCCGCAAATTTCAATATACGCGCATCTGAATACTGCAACAAAAAGGAAGATGAAACGAAATGAAAACTCATTTCCGAAGTAAAAACCTTTGGTCTAGGCAAAAAGCTTCAAGGAAGTCTGCTAGAAGACAAGGAAATTTGACGAAAAAAAAACTGAGTGGGGTACACACTGCGTCCAATAAGGGTAGGACCTTCTCGATTACTCGGACTTTTGAGGGCTCGGTTACTTCCTC